AGTGAGTACATGCATGGTAGTCAGCCTCAACCAGTATATTGTGATTTAGGGACTTCAGAGGGTACTATTGAGATATATACTGATTGGAATGATGATAGTGATGGAAGTATTAGATGTGCTCCAAAAGAAATGAAGGGTTGTGGTGACTATGTATTGGAGCTGAAGTCCATACTTCTAAATGGATGGATTTCTAAGTTGGAAGTCAAAACTCGTGAATTTTTGCAAAATTGAGCACAAAACTCTTCAAAAAGAAGCAATATTAAGCAGCAAATCTATTATAAGAATTGCTTTTAGAGATGACACGAATGATAATAACATATATTATCCAGTGTCAAGTGACTTGTCAGAAGAAGGACTATTTCTCTTCCAACAGCGTTGGATTAAAGGTGAACCAATCATAGTTCGGGATGTTCTTAAACTAGGAACATGTCTGAGTTGGGAGCCAAAGGTCACTTAACGAGCATTGTGTGAAAATTTGAATTCAGGGAACAACTCAAATGCGTTAATGAATCAAGATTGGTTCTCGCTACGCAGTGAACCAACGAGTTTTTCTTATTTGTCTCATTCAATCAATGTTTTCACGCTCATTTGAGATATTTAATCGATTAAATTTAAGTTTTAATTGATTAAATATCTCTCTTAATCGATTAAAGATAGAGATTTAATCGATTAAATCTCGAGTCAACTATTTTTGCCTGTTTTGACCATTTAATCGATTAAATTTCAAGTTAATCGATTAAAGAGGAGCAGAATTATGAATAGTTTTAAATAAGAGAAAAAATAATTATTAATTAATTAATGAAGGGTAAAAAAGTAAAAAAAAAAAAAAAAAAACCAAACAACCAAACTAATTGGCCCAATTTGTTTCCCCTGACCATTACTATTTTGAAAGGTAACTGCCTAAATCTATTCTGAGGTCCTATAATCTCTCGTCTCCAAAGGAATATGCATATGACTTGCTGCTTTTTTTTTTGTCTCCATTGTAATTTGGGGTTCCCCTCTTCCCCTTAGTAGGTAAATCATAAACTTCTATGTTCTAATCCTCTGATGATTGGGTTTGCTGCCAGCAGTTTCTTTGGTTTTTGGTCATTTGGTGCTATAAAAAGAAGGATTAATATTTTTCATGTTATAACTTGGATATAAAAGTGTATGGAACTCATATAGATCCTTGTGAAAAAAAGAGAGAAAAAAAAAATGAATCACACATACGTTTACGTATATATAAAAGATAAAATTATCTCATATAATATGAGAAACTCTAATCCAGTATTTCCAAAAAAAAAAAAAAACTCTAATCCAGAATGATAAAATTGTTGATGTATCATTGTGCAACATTATGCAATGCATCATACTAAAAACATTTTATCACAGGGGAAGAAAAAGCCAATCCAAATTATTGTAGAAGATTTATTGTGAATAACTGAAATTTTGTACTGTGCTATATATGATGCCTATGTTGATTTTTTGCCTATTCGGAAAGATATATATAATTTAATATAAAACGGTTGTTACAGGTTGTCTATACTTACATCATTGTCTAGTACTTATCATTATATCTTATATATTTATAGGGTTTAAATTTTCTTCTACGACAGAAATGCTTTCAACTCTTCTACTGACACTTCAAAGTGTGTGTTTGTTTTTTTTCTTTTTCTTTACAAAGAATGGGCTCTACTGTTTTTTTATCAGCAGGAAAATCAACGGTCTCTCCTATTAAAGGAGAGACATAAAATCCATATTTATATATATAAAATTAGAGTCCACTTTTTTAGGAGTGATTTCATCTTTTAATTTATTCTCCTTTAAAAAATAATACGTGTCATTATTAACTTCTTTTTTTAATTTTAGATTTAGATTCTTCTGAATTAATTATGTATATCTTTTTTATAATTTTAAATATTATTTGAATTAATTATGCATATCTCATTTATTTCTTAAAACTTTTTTTTTAATTTATAAATTTTTATATTATACTTAGTTTTAAAAAATTTCATACAACATATATTTGTTAATTGTATTACAAGTATGTGATGAATAATGAATGTGTGAAAGTGTTTTTCCTTTCTTTATGATAATCCTTTTAGATAGAATTATTTTACGATCATAACCATAGGTCCATTTTTTTAGGAGGGGATATTCATACATCTTCAATTCTTTTTTTTTTTTTTTTTGGTGGACACATCTTCAATTCTTTTACAATGGCCAAGAAATGCAATACAGATATAAATAAGTTGGATATGAAATACTTAAAATACTTAAAAGTTTAAAAGTGCTTCTCCTTTTTGCTGTTTGATTTCTTATCCATTCTTTATTTATTCTTTATTCTTTAGTTTTTTAGTGAGAATGTTTTTTAAATTTTTAAATAAGATTAAATATCATATATAAATTAATTAGTAAGCAAGTACAATAATTAAACCGATTACATTAATTATTTTTAAAAGAAGTGCTACTAACTTGTTTACTAATATCTTTCTTATTGAAAGTCGTAATTAGACACAGAAAACTTTTAACTACTTATTAAATTCTCTCTCTACTCAATTTAATGTGTAAAGCACATTATTAAAATAGTTTAACTTTCTTATTAGTCTCTTCAAATAAAATTCATACTTCTCCTTCCTGGGACAGAATTTAGAATTTGATGCATATGAATTTGCCTCTTTACAATATTCTTGTATGTATTTCTTATAAATTTGAAATACCATGTAGGTTCAATCAAATGCCTGTGATGGTCCTAATAACAAACTAGAATTAATATTAATTTATAAGGATATAAGCCTATTCAAGAGTCAAGACTCCTAAGAAGGGTCAAAGGACAATAGCATCATTATATTTATTTCCTCATGTGGCTTGTGGTTATATACGTATGTCACGGGTAGGAAGGAACCTTGACCAAAGTGGCGTAACCCATATACATTATTAGGTATATAATTGGGGACTATAGTTTTTGCCCATTACTCTCAAAAGTAATCATGCTGGGTGGGATGCTGAATTTCTGATTGTCATCGTTTGGTGTGTTCCGAGATACCCACTAGGGAGAATATCACATGATAAATTATATGCTTGGTACGTAATGCAAATTTGTTATTAAGAAATCACAACAAGACAACAATTGGTTCACGATATTCGGCAAAACATCATGAATTAAGTTGCTTAGCATAAACATTAACTTCCCTGACATTTATGAAATGCCTCATTAATAAGGCCAACATAGAAAGAGACACCACACCAAAAAACTTTGAAGTTTCAAAAGTTCTTTATATATGTAATCCAAATCCCTTTATTTCAGGAACAAAAAGCCATACACTCAAGCTGTTTTTCAAGTTCCCTTTATCCTTATATATGTAATCCAAATTCCTTCATTTCAGGAACAAAAACCCCTACACTCTTAAGTTGTTTTTCAAGCTCCCTTTGTCTTGGCAATGGCTTGTGACATGCCCTTCTTTTACAAGACTTAACCATCCTTTTTAGCCTTATAAGCCCAAGGTTTCTGTGACAATATGATGGATATCTCTTTATCTAACGAGTTTGGCTACATGAGTGCAAGTAGCTGCAGCCAAGAGATGTGCTTCTATAGTGCACCAACTAGTCCTAGAAGACTCAAATTAAGAGCACCTTCTGGTTTTCTAACAGACCCCTCAACACCAAGAACATGTGAGGATGCAAACTCTAATGTGGATGAATTTGAATTTGGAACCAGTCTCCATTTCAACCCTAGTGACTTGGACATTGAGACAAACCAAAAGGATGAAAACCTATTTGATCACCAGCAAGAGCAGAAGCAAAGGGTTTGTGGGGATTTATTGCCCACCATGGCATTTGCTGATGAACTATTCTGTGATGGTAAAGTCCTGCCACTGACACCACCTCTCAAACTTCCTCCAAGGCTACTTCAGAATGGGGATGGCAAGATACTGAGTACCCAAAGCTCAACAGTGACGTCTCCAAGGTCCCCAGGATTGATGCTTAGGCTTCCATTTTCAGGTCATTGTTTGTGGAATGATGACTTTGATCCATTCATGGTGGCTTTGGATAAGGTAAAAGAAGAAAAGAGAAGGAAACCAAAGACAAAAGATGTCCTCAGAAGGACTAGATCCCTTTCCCCATTGAGGGGCTCCAACTACAAGTCTGACAAACATGTGGGACTCTCAGAGTCACATCAACATGAATCACATTGTTGTGACCCAGCTCAGATGATATATGATTCTCAGAAAGAGCCTTTGAAGAGGGCATCAGGAAGAACAAATATGCTGTCTGAGCCCAAAGGGTTGGTGTTTGCAAGAGAGGTGAGACTAGTGAGAATGGGTAATCATGCAACCTTTGAGCCCAAGAGGACCTCAGTTTCCAAACTTGCTGTGGAGACAAAGAAGGATGACAGTAAAAGAGGTGGTTTTGGTTTTTGGACAAGGAATAAGAAGATAGAAAATATAAAGAAGGTTCTCTTTGGGAAAGCAAACATAGGAAAAGCCAGTCCTCAACACAAGTTGGAAGATAAAAAAGAAGCACTGAGGAAGCCACCCTTGCTGAGGAAACTAAACTTGAAATCTGTGACATCAACGCAATCAACCCAATGGGAAAAAGATGAAACAACAAGTGACATGACCAAAATGAGATTGGTAAGTCACAAACCATTGCCAAGACCTTTTTTTCTCTGCTTGGGTTATGAGGGAAGGGACGTGAAGTGATTGAGTCACACCACATCTGGGTAGAGAGTATAAATTAGATTAAATGAAAGATGGAAATTGCTATTTTAGATTCAATGTGTTCAATAGAGTCCTGCTGTCGCTACTTTATCATTTTATCCTTTCCGGTGGAAAGCCTATGATAGCAATGTTTTTTTTACAAAATTGTTTGTTAAAATGTATTCCATTGTCTAGAAATTTTCCCACTAGAATCATTTTCCCTGGCTTAGCCTATATATTTCAAACATAAATCATATCCAAAAGAATAATCAGTTAGCGAAGAGAGAAAGAGAGAGAGTATTCTTTAGGAATTTTGCTATTGATTGCACATAAATAATGAACTACATCTTCCATCCCTTGGTAGGGAAACTGTACAAAGCTTACTAATTTGAGAATATCAGATAGATTCTATATATTGTGAAATGAATACTAGCCATCAGTGCATAAATGAGTAATTTACATTGATTGAGATCACGTGAATAAGCCTCTAAACTTTCACATGAAAAAAATGTGATAATAAAAGGGGGGAAAGTAAACAGGACAGCCTCAATGTTCATTTGGCTGGATGAGAATCCTATACCCCATTCTCTAGTGTTTGACATAAGTCTACGTGGAAAATTTGGTCTGATTAGTCCAAGACTTCAGTTGGCCAAAGGTTTCTCCAAATGGAAATCTCATTCTCACTCTTAATCTTTCTGATTCCCCCATAAAATCCATCAGCTTCATTTCCTTCCTCCCTGTGATCTTTCCTACTGATAGTTGTCCTCCTCCATCGTGAGTCAGGAGTATACTGATTGAACTCTAGCACCACTGTGTCTGCAAGCAAGATATACAGTGTCAAATAAACTATGTTTGAATCCTAACAAACGCATTTTGGGAATGTAAAGATAAGAAAGACTAATGACATGACTCAAAAAGTTGAGCTATCCATCACTATCAATTTATTATTAGTGCTGCCAGTTTTGATGTTGGCAGCATTTATAACTTTCCCATATTTATAGAAAAAAAGCTTTTGATGGTACGACTGCATGTCCATAACATCAGAGGCCAGCTTAAAACTCCATAGAGTACATTCCAAGGGATGAAAAACATAGTTATCAAATGCGGATTGCGGCATGTCGCGGCCAATCCCGAAAAACGCTATAGCGTTATAGCAGATTGCGGTTATGGAAATAATGGAATAGATATATGGCAGAAATAATGACAAAAAGAAATATTTTTTAAAGGCAGAGATAGCAGAAGTGATAGAGAGACACGCGGATAAACTAAAAAACCCTTAAATTTTTTCTATTACACATTTAAATTTAGAACAAAATTGACATTTTGCTTTATGGTCGCAATATGGTCGCAATTTGGCCGCAAATGCGATCGCAATGGCCGCTATTGGGTTCCGGTGCGGTGCGGCGCGGCATAGTTTCTTGCAGAGAGGCACCACAACGCCCATACGGCGCGCGGCTTGCGGTGCTATTGCGGTGCAATTAATTACTATGATGAAAAGATAAGACCATTTTGAAGAACTTGTATAAACACGATAACAAATTGATAAGAACATGTGAAATGTGTAAAAACTGTTACCCTGCTTATACAGAGTGAAGAAGGAATATGACAACAGAGTTTATCACAAAAGAAATTTCCTGTCAGAAAGATAGCAGGCAAAAACAATATGCACTCATGGCCAGGAAGATATGCAAGCTTGATTTTTATTTCTGAGGCACAAATTAGTGTTTTGCATTATTATTCTTCGGTTGTTACTGTCATCTGCGGCGAAGAGAATGTTAAATGAATGTCAAACCAGGTAGCTACGCGAGATTATGAATCATTCTGGTCATAACTACTAGTAGCAGAAAAATGGAAGTAGACTTTCGAAGCTTATAATGACCATGGTATCCCCTCATTACATAGCAAAAAGAAAACACAGCCTATAGGAGAAATTGAAGTTTTTTTTTTTTAACATAGTTGGCTATAAATGTATCCACTGAGACACTAGTTATCAAAGTGTTGGTGGAATTGTGACATGCGGACCACGATATGTCTAGGGGACCAATAATCATATAGCATAACTGGTGGTCCAAGTTTTGGTATAATATCAGGGAAGGAACCTACTCCGTATTGTGGTCTGGTCTGTCAAAGTGAACTTCACATTTATGTAATTTTTTTCACTTCATAGCCTCCACAATGCACAATATAATAATAGTAAATTATAAAACTAAATAATATTTAATCCATAACACAGTAGACTTTAACCTTCACTCCATTCCTCAGTTTTTAAAATTCCGGAGCATTATCTTTTTTTTCTCTCCTCTCCATTTTAGCATCTTTTCACACTATATTCAGTTGAGCCTAAGAAAACAGAATTCATCTGTGGATCATACAGTAATTTTTTCAACCAGAACATAGTTCAACTCTATGGGAGGAACAGAACATGGATTAAATGAATGATAATAACTAGAGCCAAGAAAAGATAATGAATGATAAACACAGTCATTCAAAAGGAAAATGCATCAACTCACCACTATTGTGACAGCGGCAGTAATTTTCATTCCCATCGCATGGCTCCAAGTGGCCTACAACACCATACCACCAACCTGCCATAAAGGTGCATATGGTCATGCTACTATCAGGATCTTATCACAACAAGGGTATATGTAAATGGAAATGCATAATTAAGATTGGATAAGTAATCATTATCATCAAAGACTCAATTGGATCCCACTGCCCCCCTTTCTATTTACTCTTCCAAGATATAAAGGTGGTCCTGCAGTTCTGTAGCCATCTTAGCTATTCCTTTTCTGCCCATACCCATTCTTGATTTAAGTTTGTAAAAATAGACCTTTTACCAGCCAAAGCAAATAGTAAAAGTATGAGAACATGTTGAATAAAGGAACAAACCATAAGGAAATTCTTTGTTTCTCCTCCACTGAATCTCTATGTGATCACCCGGATGCAAATCATATAGACAATCAGAGATATGAAGATCATGTGGAGGAGTATCAACAGGAGGTGCTCTTAGCCTATCCCATTGGATGCCATGCTCTGTTGCAACTGGCCTTCTTCCATGGGGTGGATACCTGTAAATTGTAATAGACCACTAATTAGTAATTAAGCCACCAGATCAAAATTTCTCTTCCTTTTAGTCCTCTATTTTCCATATTGAAACTCTTCAAAAAAAAATTTCTTTTTTTTTTTTTTTATGACCGATGGGAACATACATATAGAAGCATATGATCACCAAGATTCATGCCCTATTACCTGGCTTGGAATGTGTCAGTGCGTGGATCATAGCTAAGCTCAGCATCATAGCATGATAACATAAATCCAACATGGCCATTCTGCACCACCAACAGCAAAAACGCAACTAATGAGAAAACAGAATCTTTTACACACTAATTTGTTTCACTTTTGAGGGTAGCGTGTTAGAATATAAGTTTTCAATAGAGAAAGCACAAAGGGGTTCATAGATACCATAATACCTCACGGTTATAGACCTGAGCAGGAAACCAGAAGTTGCCAGTTTCAAGAGCAAGATAACATGACATGAAGGAATCAGCAGGCAAATAATTCCTTTGCTTTGCGCTATTATTTGCATCAACCTTCATTCTCATCCATGAAAAAGGCCAACGAAGGGATACAAACCTAAACAAGCTCCTTTGCTTGCCATGTCTAAGATTGCCAACATTATTGCTTTTGGAAGCAACATGCCATTTCCACTCCCTGTAAGCAACTGAACCAATAACTCTACCCCATTTCTGTTTCATGTGCCTCTCCCAAAGGTGATCACTCACACATCTCTCCCTCAAGGAACGGCAAACCCCAGCCATTTGACAAAGTGAAGCAGGAGGGAGCTTTTCAAGAATGCATTCCAATGCCAGCTCTGGCAAGTCCAACACTGACATGTCTTGTGTGTCCTCAATGTTCTCTACTTTTGAAGTAAGATTCTTCTTCACAAGAGACATTCCTGTGGGAATTTGACAAAGAAAACCAAGCCAAAGGCGATTCCTAAACAACTTGGAGATGGATTTTACAGACAACTCTTTGCAAAACAAAAGGGAGATCAACCTGGCCTCACTTGCCCATGATGGGAGTGGTTTGAGAATGAGGAGAGGCTTTAAAAACAGCAAGAAGGAGATACAGGTGATAAAGTAAAGTAGCATTAGTAGATTGGGATGTCTTTCAAGGATCAAGTTTTGAGTTTGGGGGTATGTGAAAGAGCCTTAAAGCCAATTCTTGAACATCAATGGTTTATTTGACACAATTGACACACCCTCTCCCCCAACACCAGAGCAATTTGGAACCTTCAAAACACCTTTTAAAGATGGGTTTTTTTTTTTTTTATGGTTTGATGAAAGCCCACCAAAACCCAATGGTGGGCCTCCTAGACCAAAGCTAGATCAGAATAAATTAGGTGGACAAAACCACACGAATGAACTTGGGAAATTGCCTTGAACCACTGTTATGGATATTGTTGGATGACAAACAAAGCTTATGTAGTAGCTTAACACCGATTCTCTCTCCTATTGCCTTTCAATAAAGACACAACACAACCGTACAAACAACCTAAACAGCTGTCATTCAATGCAGAATGAACCTGTAGAAATGGTCCTTAGGGGGAGATGAACCCAGCAAAGTAATGCAAGTGGGGGCCCCAAGATCTGATATCAGGTTTTATAACACCTGGAAATGGAATTGGCAATGAAAAAGATATAGCAGTTGAAGATGAATCTATATAAAAATATGAAGATAAGTGAAAACAAAAAAATCCTGTGGAAATAATGTGTGTCTAGCTAGAATAGAATAGATCTATAGCTAGTTGAAACTGAAACAGTTTAGGCCCACCCCAACACCTCAAGATCTACAAAAACAATGGAAACAAGCTAAAGGACAATCCTTGGTTGGGGTGGTGCACAAGATTAAAAGAGATTGATGAAGAAGTATGATGAATGTGAAAGGGTAGGTGGGTCCTCCCTTCACTCCAACAAATTCCTCACCACACCTCAATTATTATCCTCTTCTCTGATAATCACAGAATTATTCTCTCTTTTCTTTTTCTTCTTCCTCTTGAAGTTGTTCTATCAATGTGTGGAGCAATATAGCAAATAATTGGTGGACAATGAATAGAAAAGACAGTGCTATTTATGCAAAAAATGAATGGGAGGCTGAGGTTATATTATATATTTGTGGATATCAAACAAATATCCATGTCAACACTTTATGATCCAACCATCCAACTCCAAGGATTGATTCCCATAAAATAGTATTGATAAATTAAATAATTAAATCATAAATTTCAAATTATTTATTTAAGTTTTTTTTTTTCTCTATGAATAATATTTTATCTCTCTAGAAAATCATGTAACAAGTTCAAGTTGGAGGGAAATCCGTCTGACCAGAAAAGGCAACAACGTTGGATAACGTATATAGGACAAGATTCGTTAATATTAAATTTGGAGATTAGAAGTAAGGGTTCTGATCGCCTGCATGTGCATCTACTGAACCATCTTTTTTCTTTTTTGAGTAAACACCATTTTTAGTCTCTGACAATAAAAAAAGATCAAATTGGTCTCTAAAAGTATGTAAAAAGGGTCACGTTAGCGACGGAGGAGTTGACATAAGGACTAAAGTGGTCCTTTTTTCATAATTTTAAGGACCAATTTGATCATTTTTTTATTGTCAGGGACTAAAACGAATTTCGTAGATATTGCCAGGAACCAAAAATAGTGTTTACTCTTCCTTTTTTATCTATACACGAATTAAAAAAATTATTAAATAGTTTTCATCTTAAGTAAAAATAAGTATATTTATTTATATTTTTATTAAAAAAAACAGATAAAAAGAAATAGAGAGAGTAATTTTTTTTTAATATAACCTGAAAGTTATCCTCATTCAACCTCCTTCGATTACCTGATCCTCATGTTACGGCGCAAATAGGCTAGCCGCAAATACAGAGAGTAATTTAGTTACCATTGTGTTTGCTTTACAAGAAATTGTAAACATACATCAGAATGGTTTTCCTTTTAGGCCTAACTAGATTCCAGTTCTTAATTACAATTAGCATTTAGATTCACATCATTTCTTAATTACAATTATTGATGGAATAATTTATGGAGCTATTATTTTATAATATAGAGCCTAGTTAAATTAGTGTTATTTACTGTTATACATATTTAAACCTGATAAAAAAAGATTATCTTAATTAAACAAACATATATAACATAACTCACATGAATTATGACTTAACTCGTTTCTCGTTTTTATTAATCCCAATAATTATAAACATTCTAATACCTGCCGACATAAATATGAAGAAAATCACCCTACACATTGTATAACAATAACTTAAGAGATATGCATTCACATGTATATTATAAAGATTTTATTTTTTTCATGTTGCATGAGACAACACATAAAAAAATAAATAGAATTCACTAAAAAAGAGAAGAAAAAATAAAAAAAGTGAACCACACTCATTTTTTTGTGTATTGTATAAGACAATTTGTGTCATGCAACTTAAAATAAAAAAAATCCATGTTACAAAGGCCCTAGTGCACTCAAAATTGTATATGCTGATCAACGTCTAGTTTTGTCCAATTATTCACAAAGTGTGCAATCTACTAGACGCGTAGAGAACACGATCGAATGATAGTGCAACATGAGTAACAAAGAAAAGAAAAAGTGCCCTGAGGTTAAGAATTGGACGGTGCAAATAGCAGATCCACCAATAGCTCCACAACAGTCCAGGGTCTTTTAACGTGAATTTGCGTGTTACTCCCATCTTCACTTTCTATTTCTCAAGTTACAAACAAATATATCCATAGTCAATAACATAATTAATTCACATGTTTTATACACACAAATTTTTCTTTAAAAAAAGTACTAATAGTTTATGAGTTTAAAATTTCTCATATTAGAGGACATCTATAATTTTTTCTTCTTTTTTTTTCACATGACTCCATATAATTTTCACATATTTTTATGAGTAGGTTATATTTACAAATTTTTTTGTTTACAAACTAAACTATGTTCTCTCGGGAGAACACTCATTACATTGTGTTCTCCCGGAAGAACATAGTGTAATTTGTAAAAATTTTCAAAAAAAATTTATAAACGGATCCTTCCACTTGTGTATACATATTAAATTGTTTTTAATATATGTAAGATATTAAATTATTGCCCCCTCACTGTCAAAGTGTGGTGATATTGATTTAGTGAAAGATGTAATGGGTGGTCCATCACCTCACCATATCCCATAAGGAATCGCTTGCTTGAGTTGTCATCCTTCTTAATTGCTTCATATTCTTTACAGAGACCAATGCATTATGCAGCTTCTTACACTGCCCAACATACCATCAATATCATGCAACCTACTTGCCTTTGCGCTGAAAACGACACCCATCTAGCTAGCTACAACTTGGCCTCATAAAATACAATGAGACATTATATTAAACTACCTCTTGTTAATTAGTTTTATTTTATTTTATTTTTTTAATTTTAAAATGTATTTCGTATCTACAATCATAAGGGGCGTTTGGTTCAGGAAATTTTTTTGGAATAGTAAGGAAATGAAATAGATAAAGAAATGATTAGAAAGATAGATAAAGTGAAATAGGTAGAAAAATATAAAAAAAAGTTGTTTGGTGAGAAAAAACTTTACTGAAAAAATTAGGTAACTTTATGAAATCAACAGTGCATTAAAAGTCAGATAATCGGTTTTCCAAAAAATCTCACCTTCAAATTGGGTTTCTAAACAGTGCGAATATCTATGTTTCTCATAAATCCAGACAAATTGGATAGATGGATTTTTGGTGAAAAATATTGAAACAAACATGGTATTTCTAAAAGCCATACTTGAGAAAGATAGATATCCGCTGAAAAGCTCCCAACCAAACACCACATAAGAGACATATATAAGTCATGACTGAATATAGTTTATGTTTTCAGTTTCAGTTGAATTGGTTAAAGCCAGAAAATAAAATAAAAAATAGAAAGATATAATGTTTATGAAACTCTTGTCAATCAGTTTTTACAAGTGACGAAAAAGGTAGTTTTAACTATATTGTAATCATATGGTTATTTTAAAATAATATTATACATCATAAAATAAATTGTAACATCATTTTTATGTTTTATTAAATTAAATTATAAATACATACTAGTTCCATTAATTTTTTTACCTAAATAAAATGTTCCTTTTACCCATATTCTTGAAGTGTCAATCGTCAAGAGTGTATTTAAGAACAAGAGAAGAGAAAAGCAGAGATTGTCCTGAATTGATCTAATTTCAAAGATATTGCAAATCTATTAATTATATTTAAATTTTTAATTATTTAATTATAATTAGTTTTATTTTATTATTTATACGATATAATTTTAATTATAATTATATCATTAATTCTTGATATGAGAGATGTGCTGACGTACATATATGATTTATTTTCCAGGCTCAAATAATATGGTTGTTATATAGAATAACAAATCGATATCATTGTCAAAAAGACCACAACACCCCATTATTAAACAATGTATAATTATTAAGCACTTAGCTAGACGTAGGTGGTATAGGCATAGCCATAGCCATGAATCATGATTTTAAGCATGATTCGCTATGTTTTGGGTCCATGGTGGAGATCATACAGCATCTTACCAATTTTATTTACTCTTTATTTTTTATTTTGAATTTATTAAATAATAATTCTTTTAGCTTTGAAAATTTGATGATTTCTGGACCCTTCTTTATCTTTCAATACCTTCTAGAATCGAGAGTTGAGAGTTGAGACACATCCTACAAAAGTCTCCAGATTTTGAATTTCATTTATTTATTTTCATTGTAGGTACATTCATATTAAAAAAAAAAAATTGGGACTTAAATAAAATAACAAAAAAAAATATGGGTTAAAATAGAAAAAAATTCCTTTTTTAATAAAAAAATATCCAATTCGATACTCCTGTCGTATTAAAGAAATTTCCTCCTTTTCATTCTATTTACTTGTTTCTCCATGAACACATACAGTGATACAGCTCAATTTACCCACTGAAATTTAACCTTTAAATGTTTATTTTTTCAATCATTCAAAATGCTTTTAAACTGACTCAAGGTTTTCCTTTACTAAAGTTTGATATGTTTCTTAAGAGTGTGACTCGCTCAACATTATATTTAAGTGGAATATGTTTTTTATATTGCACTAAATAAATTATCTCATATAATATAAAAAAAGAAGTAGGTGAGATTTACTAAGAAAAAGAAAGAGAAAAAAAAAGATCTCATCTATTTTTTTTTTGTATCGATTTTTTAATGTAACATGAAAAATATATTTTTATATATTTAATTCTTTTTTATTTTTCACTTAAGACTGGTTACTAATAAAAAAAGAATTCTACAAACACATCAGCTATTTTTATTTGTCAATCTCTTATCCATCATATCACGGTATCAAGAGTATGAAATATCTGAAAGGGCCTTTGGCAATTTGTCAATTTTTTTTTTTTTTTCTGAGTAGAGACTCAAGGATATCCTCACCCTGAAATAAATTAAAATTACAAAAACACAATGATTTCTACCCCAAAGCTACGTCGTATTGGACTTACTGCAGATAACTTATTTGCAGTAACTACAGAAAAAACGAATCCATTTTTATATGGCCAAAAGAAAAGTGGAGATGCAATTCTTGCATAAACAAATTCGCGTACACACATATATATATATATGGGAAAATGTTTGTTCTTTTAAAGAATATAATTTTGTGTTATTTTTTATCCTAACTGTTGATTTCCATCGATCAACGGTTAGGATTTATTGAGTTTTATTATGAATTACTAATAAATTAATAAGTTTGACCCAATAAATCCTAACCGTTGATTGACGGAAATCAATGGTTAGAATCTAAAATGACACAAAGTTATATCCTTTAAAAGGACAAATATTTTTCCATACATATATATTATATATATATATATATATGAGAAAAAAATTTCTCAAACAACTTGAGATATATTTATCTCTGTTTACTCAAAAATTACGTCGTTTTGCTTATTTATTTCCTTATATTAATTTATTCACCTTTGAATAATTATGATTTCTTTTTTTCTCTCTCTTCCTTTATTATCATTGATTCATCTTTGTATGGTTATGATTTAGTAGCTGGAGATAAAATTATCTCAAGGAACTTGAGAAATGATAAGCCAAATATATAATAAAATATTTCTTCTATTGCGGGAGAAGTGTTTTCTTATGCCGTTGAGAATTCAAATTTTGAACTTGACTTCTTTTTTATTTTTATAAAAAATGTGAAGCCCACCATGATCATGTGTCTGCTGGAAGTTCCCTTCTTCTCCTGCACCAAGGATAGGTACATTGCCCATATTATAATAAAGGAAAAATGTGTGTCCTTTTAAGGAACACAAATTTAAGTCCTTTTAAAAGAGACATATACACAAAGAAGTATAAGTCTCACTGAAAAAAAATAAAGAAATGGGTCTCATCTCTGTGTCTATTTCTTTTTTAAAAAAATTTAAATTTATATCCTTTAAAAAGAACATATATTTTTTCCTTATAATAATGATAACTAGTATTTGTTAGCAAACTCATGTGACTATGCATGTCACGAAGATATTAGTTATTTATTCATCGGTATCCTACTAATCCTTAAACTATATGTTAGTAAAAGCCTATAGTAATAATAGGATTCTTCCTAACAAGTGCTCTTAATCCTTTAACTAGTAAATTACAGGCCCTTTTTTTATGGTTCTTTCTTTGACTTGGATTTTTTGTTTTTTGTGCTGATAGTAGTGCTTAGCACTATTAATTTGGATAACGTTTGTACTGCAATGGGGAATTAAAAGGGAGGAGTTGGTACAAAGTTGTACTCAAGCTAGCTAGTAGTTTACCACATTCAGTTAGAGTCAAGTAAGTACCGAGATTGTATTATTAATTTAGGGAATTCCAAAAATGTCAAACACTGGTCACTTTATTCTGTTTCCTTCATCTTTGTTTGTGATAAAAGCAATTCAGTTTCTGTCCTATGAATGTGGTCAACAATTGGGGTTGGAGAAAAGCCTTTTATCTGTTGAAATTCAATGGTGGATGAGGCTAAAGGAAGCCCCACCTCACCTGTTTGCACAAAGAGGAGTCCTCCAAGATTGAGATATATTGAAAAAAGGAACATTTTCTTTGGTCTGTGAAGTGGGCAACGTGGCTCAAGGAAAGCATTATGGGAAAAAAAGGCCCCAACAATGGGCGATCACTTAGCAGAATAGGGAATGAATTTTACTACAAAAGTGGTTCCCTTGGGATAGGATATGTTTCACATTTTTTGTGATATTCTTTAAAGTTAAGGCATTGAGTGGATTGTGATATTACTAATAATAATATTTGGATTCAATCTTTCATCAGCCAATGGCCATTTATATGAAGGACAAGTATTGGGTTGGTGGTGTTGCCATTTGAGCATCATGACATTTGCAAGTGAAATCCGGGAATCTTATCCAAATGCATATGCATGGTTAGACACAAATGGCCAATTTAATTCTTCGCAGTGTCACTAATTAAACATAAGTCGGCACATCCTATTTTCGAGGAACTTATTGTTTCTTTCTTGTGTTTTTTTTTTTTTTTCCCTCTCCATGGGTTATGGAGCATGAAATTGAAATTGAAAGTATATGATTTAAGTATATCCTCTTAGGTTACTTTGATATTTCCACTAATGCATACAATCTTTTGGTGCTTGTCCCCTAAAGTTTGAACATTTCATCCATCAAGCCCCACTAACTTTAAAGTCCCCTACCCCACCTATTTTGTCCATACAAAATTCTCTCTCTCTCTCTCTCTGTGAATGTGAAGTGTATGTGAGCCAGATGCTAAAACAGTCAACTTCATTCCTAAATTATCATTATTGGCTCTTTTGGTTGGTCCTTGTGATTTTAAATGAGCCTCCAATTGACTACTGAAATCCAGGCCTATTAAGGCCCAATGCTTCTGCCCTATAAAAATCAGTAATAATAGGAGGATGAGTTGGGTTGAAATTGGGCTTGAAGGATGAGTTTGGTTCCGCTGGCTTTATCAGGCTGAGTCCATAGGAGTTTTGAAGAAAAAGAAAAAGAAAACATGATGTGTTTTTGCCCAATTACAACCTCTCATGTTGTCTTGTATTGATAAATTTTTGATATTATTGTTATACTTAAGTGAATACAATATTTTTTTATTTTTGTAAAAAAGTGCAATGTGGCGGAAAAAAAAAATTAAAAGTGTTAGAAGATTTTTTCAAAAGTGAAAAAATGTTGTATCCACTTAGGTATAACAGTGATACCAAAGATTTATCTGATCGATGGATCCTCTCATTAAAATTTTCTATGATTTAATGGTGTAAAAAATTTGTGTTTATTTATCTCTTCTTGGACATTAAATAAGTGGGATATAGTTAATATTAACGAAGATTGTGAAATTTTAACATATAATTATTATTTTATTTTTTATTTTGTGTGTGTGTCATATGTCAACCTCTTCTAATTTTCTTTTCTATATACATAATGATTAGCTTGCCTGATGAATGATGATGGTTCTTTTGAGGAATGAAATGCATATTACTTGAACTGAAAACTACTAGCAATGCCAAGCCAAACTCACTTTCAGTATAATTATATATAAAGATTCTAGTTAGTCATAGAAAACACTACTTGTGGATTGTTCGGGAAATTATGAAAATGTGTTACAAGAAGCACTACTTTTGAGATCTTGAGAAGGCCCTCTATAGTTTGGAATGGTGGAAAGAATAATTGCCTCCATTAAGATTCTAAGATACAGATGCATCAAGTTTTGCTTTGGAGTTTGCTTCGTGGGTTCAATAATGTCTTTTCTTCAGAAGAGCGTACTTTGAAATCAACATTCAAGTATTGGCAGGAATAGTTGTCATCTTGCTTTGGTTCCTTTCTTTGTGATAAAATAACTACATACATATATCTCTTGTAGGGGGAAAATATAGAGAAAAACTCCCATTAATATTAGTAGGTTTAATATTTCTTACGTTATAGGAGATAAATTTATTTTCTACACATATATAAAAATATATAGAGCTTATATTTATTTTTTTGCTCTCTCTTCTTCTCACATAGTCTCATATAGACTTCATCCATTTTTTTATTTATGTATAAGAGATAAAATTATTTCCAATGAGAAACATTAATCCTTGATATTAATTATTTCAAGGGTAAAGAGAAATATCTAGAAAAATATAACAGGGAGCCTCTTTATTATACCGCATTCATAGTAGATTCACCAAAAAATAAGCACATATATTTGGAAAAAAAATAAAAGAAAAAAATATAGGGCAAAGATATAATATATGTTTTGGTGCACAAGAAAGGAATATAATTTTGATATCCCATTTATGGCTCCACTCGTCAAAACCTAAACTAATTAGAAGGGTGATTAACAGACAAAAAATAATGTAGATTTTCTTGTAATTTTACATGCTTATGGATTCTACTAGTCCATGTGCAAGTACATCTCTCACTGAATTATTCTTGTTGATCTGGATGTAATCTCTTTTTGCCACAAAGAGGAACCCCAAAAAGCTTCAGAGTACTATTAGACTCCTCATAAGAAGTTATCAAAGACTTCTCCATAATACAACTCTTAGCTGGTCTAATAACATTTGGTGCTTGAGGTGATGAATCCAATTCTACAAGCTTCAGGATAGCACTGCTGTTTCTTTGTTCAAAGGAAGCAGGGTTTACATGGTTTTGGATGAAATATATAATGTCATTGTACAGATTCTTCATGTGAGTGAGTTCTGATAAGAGCATGAAGTTCTTTCTCCTTAGTCTTTGATTATCCTCAGAAAGTGCTGTTAATATATCTGTGCCTGATTTTGGAGATGGTGATGGGGTATCAATCCAACAGAGACTTTCATCTGGCTGAAGATGTTGTTGTTGTTGATCATGGTAATGTTGCTGAGGGGTTTTTCTCCTTTGGATTTCACATAAAAGGTGCTGAGCTCCTTTTCTGAAGTATTCATTTGCAAACTCCCACCTATCAGCAACTACCTTCTTGAAACCCTGCAAGAAGAAGAAAAGTATATATGCTGTTTTACTAACACAGTCAATCATGAAGCTTCTGTAGCAAATATATAATGAACTGTAAATGAAATCAGATAGGTAGGTAGGTAATCATAAGTTAGCCTAATGTTTCAAATTCTTTTCAGTTAGTAATATGATTAGGTCAATTTGTCAAGTTGTGCAGATGGAAAAATGTAAGTCAATGAGATGAAAAATTGTTTTACACGAATCTTAATCATAGTCATTTATGCTTTTCACTCTGAAGATAGTACAAAAACAATAATGAAGGTAGAGAAAAAAGAAGTTAGAACATATGGATTCTCACATAGGTATTTAGCTGCCTAACAAAGCTTGAGAAGTTGTTGTGCTTGAAATAGTTTGGAAGAAGATCTCTAGCAAATTCAGGGGGCCTCCACACAATAAATGTAGTTTCATCATCACTCCAAGACACAATGTGGTTAGTGCGAGGATCATCAACAAGCTGGTATGTCTTTGTTAAGAATGGAGCAGGCACTGGCTTCTGAGACTCCATAGTGAACACTATATTATCTTCACACTTATCTAGTGTGAAAGCCATCACTGAACCAAAGAGTGTTACTTCTTTATGTTCTGTTACTCTCCTCTTTCATTCACCTTTACACAAGCAAGTTTAAAAAGAACCCCTCACTCTCTCTCTCTCTCTCTCTCATATTATAATTTTACAACTTTATGAAACAGAAACATATGACATATCACTTAAATAACTACTTCTTTGCCCCTCCCCCTATATGGTTCTTTGTTGTTTACTAACTTTAAGAAGCATAAGACCATGTCAGTAAAAACAATGAGTTTTTCTAGGATAACTATAATAGATCCAATGAACAATTAATTAGCTATTGATTGTTCTCTCCTTTGCAGTGGTGGTGGGTTGATGCCTCTTGAAAGATGAGCTACTTTCTATTTATATTTTGGAGAGAAAAACAGTGGGACATATTTTTATATAGGATACTCCAAATTTTGTTGCTGTACAGCACCCATGGATGTAATCACTGTTTTGTCCCTACTCAATCCTTTGTTGTTCTTGGCAGCAAAATGGGTATACTAGCTAGCAACTTAATTTCTTTCATGGCAGTTCAGAAGAAGGTGGAGGGTGTTTATTAATCAAAACTTTAAGGTATGAAGTTAGAAAAAAAATAAATTTAAAGACTTAATTAAGCAATTTTTTATTGACAGATACAAAAATCTCATGTCTTGTGCAAATTCCTAGACTAATAATTAATTTAGTTGAAAGATAATATTTTAATTTATTTCTTCCTGTAAGACACATACTATTGTATGGAACTGAAACTTGGAAGGTAGCGATAGTCCTTCCAATAATATTTACTTTTATGTATATCCATTTGGCCCACTCTATTATCACTGTCAGAAATTGTTTAATTTATTGGTCCCTCCATCCTTGTCTTTACCTGGAAACTAGAACCAAAGCCTGCTTCAATATTTTTAATTATTATTTTCCAATATGAGATGAGATAATCTCAAGTTTTTTGGCAAGTTAACTTCTTAATTGGCCCTGGTTTGCTTCGTATAGAACTTAAATCATGTAAGTTCTTAACTGACAAAACTCATGTAAAATTTTCTATAAAAAATGAATGCATTTGATATACAAGTATTCAAAAAAATAGATCAACTCAGCAGTACAAATTAATATAGATTGATGTTTGTACATCTAGCATTTGATATACATTGATCTTTGCATCCATCAACAAACTTATGCTAATAAAGTACTAAGGATGGATGGGATAGAAACATTCTTAGATCACCCAAATCATGGCTTTTTGATTTCCAGCTTAAGAAAAGGGTCTCAAAAGATAACACTGTTCATGAATTATGTGGTTGTAATTTTCTTTTTTCCTCTATCATATCCAAACCTTCCTTTATTTCCTGAAAACATACCTTTTCTTCTTGTGGGGATCACCATTTTAAATCTTTTCCCACTATAGCTACCTACTTCAAACTTGCCTTTTGTACATAACTAGAACATATATAATAGAAATAAAATTAACTATTATATAATTGTAAATACTCAAATGCTTTGTAGTTTGTACCTAGCTAGTTACCAAGGTAGAACATTCTGACCTTGATTCATTTTTGTACAATCCAAAGCACACCCGTGACCTCGACATGATAGAAGTAGTAGCTCCTTCTAGTCTTTAATCATAGAATAATGTATTCATATGCTGCATAATTGTAAGTGAACCTTCTGTCATTTGAACATATAGGGAGTATATTTCAATTCTCAAAGAAAGAAAATGAACTCATGCACGACCTTCTAGTTCTAGATTCCATTGCTAGCTAGAGGGGTCACATTCATCACTCTCTTTCTGATTTCTTTCTTTCTTTCTTTCTTTCTTTCTTTCTTTCTTTCTTTGCTTCCTAACCCCTCTCTTCTATCTCACTTTAACTTTGAAAATTATGTGGAAAGTGACATACTTTAATTCCTTCTACAAATCCAAGCATCTCTCTTGACTCCTGAATATTGATTTGTTGCACACTGTTTGGTGGTCAAAGTATAAGAAGCCTCTAAAATACCCTGCATCACTGCTAAGAATCCAAAAGGTCCAAATAGATATTTCAATAAGGAGAAGATTCTATTCCAAGTTAGTATTACCAACATCTTCATGTTCAAGTATATAGAGAGAGTAAAAATAGGCAATATATGTAGCAGCACATGATCTCTCTCCATCTCCATGTGACCCCCTGCATGCCTTGTTAGATAAAGAGAGTGTGTTTTGTCTTTTATGGAACAGCACAAATCTAAATGCAAAACATGTGAAGATCAGCATGTGGCAACTAAATTTAGAGAAAATGCTTCCAAAAGCGACTGTTATTGGAATAATTAACAAAAAGGGAAGGTTTAAAAGCTCAAAGGTTTTGTTAGTTAATGGTTTTAGGGAAGGGATCTACTTACTACCAATTAATTTTATCATTTAATTTTAACAATTAATTTCCGTTAATCTGATGATTATAATTTATTGGATGATATTTATTAATTAAATATTAATTCTCAATAAATTATAACCGTTAAGTTGGCAGAAATCAACGGTTAAGATTTGGTGGTAAGAAGTGTTAAAATTAATTAGTAATAAGTATATCTTGTCTCATGGTTATATATATATATATATATATATATATATATATATATATATATATATATAGGGTCAGAATCATTTTACACCAGTGTAAATTACACTCTCAATTTTGTCTGTTGATCCACTTATATCTAAGGGTTCTAATTTTTTAGTAATGAGAGTCATTGGATACAAGTGAACCAATGGTCAAGATTGAGCGTAAGACTTCTAACTCTTACACCGGTGTAAAAATATCATGTCTCATATATATATATATATATATATATATATATATATAGGGTTTAGCGGATGTAAAGTGAATGCACCTAAAGATTGGTGCAGTCATATAAAACTACGTCGTTTTATAGTGTGAAAGCATTAAATATAGGGAATATAACCATACAAAAGTGAAAATAAATATAAAGCATTAATTATAGGGAATAGAAATAAATATAATATTTCTATTTTATATAATTGATTTTGAACGCGAACTTCCTTTATCCCACCCAAAACGACGTAGTTTTTAAGTGACTGTACTAATGCTTATATGCAGTCACATTACAAATCATTTTGCCACTATGTAGCACCGACACGACACGCGACACGCGACACGACACGACACGACACTCCGACACGTCAATCCTAAAAATTTATGGATTTCGACACGTTGGGACACGTTTTAATATTAAATAATATTTTTAATTTATATAGTGTATATTTCATTTAATATTTAATAATTTAACAAAAAAATGAAACTAAATTAATAATACCCATCAACATGTTATAAAGATGAAAACTTTAATAAAAAAAATAAGAACTGGGATGAGATAGATATATAATATCAGGTAGAGAGATCAAATCATATTAGAGAGAGAGATCAGAGAGAAGAAGATACAACAAGAGCGTGATAGGAATTGACAACAATGATGCTGAGATGATCTCTTATCTACTTAAGGGAAAAAAAGACAAAAAGATAAAATTGATATGATCAGGTTGAAGCTTTATTAATATATTTTAACTTTAAAAAAAAATTACGAAAATGACATTTAACCGTGTCGGATACGGTCAAATTCGCGTGTCGGAATAGTCAACGTGTCGGAAAAAGTCAACCGCGTGTCCGACACCGTGTCGGAGCGCGTCGGACCCGACTCTTCCTGTTTTTACAAGTGTCCATGCTTCCTTGTTTTGCCATGAATATATATATATATATATATATATATATATATATATATATGGGGTAAATTCTTTGACACCGGTGTCAAATTTAAAGTTTGACATAAGCCGTTAGATAAAAAAAATCAACGACTCTGATTTATAAGCATGTGACACCATTGATCTTTTTTTATCTAACGGCTCTCAGATGAGGTGTCAAACTTTAAATTTGACACCGATGTGAAAAGATCCTACCTCTCTATATATATATATATATATATATATATATATATGGGATAAGATTCTTTAATATCATATCATAACTGTCGTCAAAATTGATGGAATCAACTGTTAAAATTTAGTGTGAAAAAATTTAATTTGATACCGGCATAAAAGTATCCTAAATCCTATATCTATAATGTTTCAAGGCTTGCTCACCCTAAAAATTATTGGTGGTGGGGTTCTGAGTTGATGTTTCTCTACCTTAGTAAAGTATATAAATGATATGTGCTTCCTAAGGAGGAGTGCCTCATCAGTACATGAAAAATTCACCACCGCATCTAAGACAAATGATGAAAAATCACATGCAAAAGACAATGTGAGGAAGCTTTAGTCTGTCATCAATTTATCCCTAAAGTAATGGATTTCTTCGTTGGACTTTTGCATCATTACCTCTCATGCATTTGTCTCTTCAGTGTGGTTACGTTCACATTATCTCTCTCTCTCTCTCTCGATGGTCCCATTTAGTATAAAATATTCTATTGTGCATAACTTTCTTTTCATTATTTTTTAATTACAACGGATGCACATAGATTAATTTTTATGCAAAATCAACGCATCTATACGTTCTTTATATAATAATAAATTGGTTTAAGGTAAAGTACAAAAATATGATGGAATCAACAACATATCTATACATTATTGTTCTACTTTGAAAGGGTGTTTGATTGTTTTAGAATAGCACCAAAGAATTGTCAGAAGTAAGAAGCAGTAGTCACCATACCAAGCATTTTCCTTTCTCTTTTTTCGGAAGAACTTTGTTATTTAGAGGGATGAAAAGGTGAAAAAGTGATGGATAGTGGAGGAGAGGGGTTGAAAGACAAAATACAAGAGATAGGAGCATGGTCTTCTTTCTACCTAGGAAAGACAACAACTTAGGTCAGAGCATTAGAGAGATTCAACCATGGTCGTGTACATAAAAGTAAATGGAAAGGGCAATGTCATATGCTTTTCTAACCTTTCACTCTCTGATGCCAAGGTTTCAATTATTTTTATTTTTGGTAATATGTTGGTTTTTAATTTTGTTTGATTTTTAATTGTTGAAAATATAAAGAATTTATTGGCTACATATTTGGAAAGTGGATTAAAAACTGAACTTTTTTTTTTTCAATTTTCTAAAAAAAATACATTACAGAGAAAAGTAAAAAATCTTAACTAAATATAATAAAAAAAAAATCAATCGTTCATATTTTAATAAAATACATAAACACGTATGATAAATTGTACATGTTTTTTTTTTTCTTTTGAGTAATCTACACTTTTTTTAAAATAATTTTTCTCACAACTCTACCTCTGTAAGAAACAATTTTTGTATTTTTAGTCCATACAGTGCAGTGCAGATGCATTTACGATTTTTTATTTTATTTAATTTTGACAAAGTCCACGATATTTGTACTGCCGTGTTGGTAACGGGAAGCTGCGTAGTACACACTACTAAGCGTCTTTGATTTGTGTTAAAATTAGTAGTACAAAGTTGTACTCTCAAGGAACAGACAGATTCCTTCATTTCTGTGACAAGTACTTGGTGTACTACATCCAAGCCTACGAGTACCAAATTTGAGGCTATATATCAATTGAATCAAGTTGTGTAAAATCAGTACATTACATTGACAAAAACATGATTGAAAGTTCAATGTTACAATTTAGGCAAAGACATTCCAAAAGATATGGAGGTAGAGGGGTTCTACAGGGTCGTCCTGAGACCACACGAAGCTTGCTGAGGTTCAGAATATAACAAGCATGCATATATGCAATGCTTATATGTGCCTCTTTCTACTCAGATCATGTGTTCTCAGGTCGCCCCTGCTGGACTTTCCTCTACCACTGATACAGCATTGGTCGACGCAGTCAGCACAAATGAAAAAGGAGTAAGGATTAAAAATAAGTAGCATGTGCTAATTCCGACTACATGAAATGTAACACGGGTAATTAAACTATAGAATTGTTTTATGTTCGTGTAATTGCATATTTATTTTTCTTTTTATAAATTGAAAGGGAAAAAAAAAAGATTCATACTGCAGCCCTTCTAAACCAAAGTTTCAGTGAATGCTCTAAGGAAATGTTTGGTATAAGTTTTTTGGTTAAAATGCTAAGAAAATGGGGTGGAAATTTTTTTCCTCATATTTGTTATAAATAAAAGTAAAATTAATCTCAGGATACTTTTTTTTCCATAATTTTATTTTTAACTATATTCCCTAAAAATAATATCATCCCACCCATGGTATTATTTTTTCGGAAAACGCATAACAACATTTTGAGACAAAAATGCCACAGTAAAATGAACATTTGATGACTAAAAAGAGATTCAATATTCAAAATGATGGATAATTTTATCATTTCGGTTCAAATTCTCATCAATATTTTATAATCAACCAAACATAACATCAGTAAAATTAAACCTAACATTCCCGAAAAAAAATTTGGCCTACCAAACACGACGCATGGCTAGCAGATCTTCCTTCATAACTCTGTTCCTAACTCCGCCTGCAATGAGGCATCCTATCTCCCCATCCATTGGCAATACATGGTTTAATTCGCCAACTTCTTTGGTCTCCCTCATCTTCTTAACAGTTGTGTTATCAAGTAGCGGAAGGTCTAAAGTGGCATCTCTCTTGGCACCATGTTGGATCAATTTCCCATTCTCTTTCCTTTCTGATAGTTGATTCTGTTTTTCATTATCAATATTGTCAAGAATAGGAAGACAACCAGATGAACCATTTTCGTTGTCAATATTGTCAAGAGCAGGAAGACAACCAGTTGAATGGTTTTCATTATCAATATTGTCAAGAACAGGAAGACAACCAGATGAACCATTTCCATTATCAATATTGTCAAGAACGGGAAGACAACCAGTCGAACCAACAGCTCGGGGCAACATGCCAATGGGACATGGGTTCCATGATTTTGCCAAAGTCCATGCCTGTGATCTTTTAGTCTCACAATCCATTGCCGTTGGTTTTTTATTTTTCATTATCTGTTGTTTAACTAACTCCAGCTTTTTAGCTGCTGCATGTATGGATTCCTCATATTGTAAAATACTCTTTGAAGTTAATAATGAAGAGCTTCCATCATCTGCAATGTCAAAATTGGACAAACCAACAAGAGAGAGCTTTTTAACTCTCTCCAACAAGGAACTGTCATCCATCAGTTTTGCAAGATGAAGGGCTGACTCCATGAGCTGCTTGTTGCAAAGTTGTGATATTAGAAGACATTTACGAAGAAATTCAAGCAAAACTCTCTTTGGCATATTTGCTGCTGCAGAGGGAACTTTGCTGAGAATTCCAACAAGCCATGTAAACAAAGAAGAAAGATAATCAGTTCTGCGTGACTCTGCCCTCAAGTGTGAAATCCCAACACATGGATTATCTACCAAAAAAAAAAAAACAGTATAAGAACAACAATAAAGAAGAAACTAAAAAGCATGTGCTATCAGAAAAATATTCCTAAACCAAAATGAAGGACAAAAGAATCTTAAAACTCAATTACTACCTACCTTCTTCACACTTCATATCTTCCTGACTCTCAATCATATCGAGAACTTCTTTAAGAAGGTTCAGAAGTAATTCTGGCTCCTTATTCCACAATTTGAGTATGACATTCTTCCAATCAGCCAAAGCATTCTGCATGGTTATACCAACATAAGCATCATCTGCATTCTCCTCTAACTCTAAGGAACTTAAAGCTTTCAACAAATACTCCAACAACACAGATACTATCTCTGAGGAGTATGATGAATATAACCGAAGAACAGATTTCAAGATCTTTGTAATCTGTTTCTTAGATCCTGAAAATATCGCGAGTTATTAGCCCATGAATACCCTGAACATAATGGAAGACACTAACAAATTACATCAGCTTCACTTAGTTTTCAGAATAAAATAAAATTATCCAATTTTATTTATCAAAAGATAGAAACAGGTTTACTGAAGTATACTTTGTTCATGTTATGTTTGATTAAACAAGTACTCAAACAGCTATGATAAATGTACTAAAGCTAGTGGGCCTACAAAATATTCCAGGTTTTCTTTTTCTCAACCATTTATTTCGATGGCACCATTTATGGCCATGCAAAATGTTCTTCATGCAACCCCCGCTCCCCTCCCCTCCCCTCCCCACCCCACCCCACCCCACCCCAAAAAACAAAAACAAAACACCCAACAAGTGGTCTTAGACACAATTTACTTCTTTTAGAAGATGCCTTTCCCCCAAACTCTCTGCATACTTTCTCTATCTTAGACAAAAACATGTAAAGGAATACTGAACAAAGAAAGTAAATAAGAGCTATCCGATTAAGAAGATTATGATACCTCCTGGTCGTGATGTTTGGCCCTTGCCAATCATAAGAGACAAAAGCTTATTACGCCCAAAAAGCAATTCACCATGCTTGACCCCTTTAAAAATATTCAACATCAGAATATTCTAAAGCAGTCAAAACAATGACAAGTACAATCATTTTTTATAGATTGATATATGGACCAAATATTTTCACTCAGCCGTGAGCATATGAAGCCACAAATGTAATATGCCACTTATGCAGCAGAAAAACTCCATAACTTGCAAAAAAATCCTGTATCATGTATTATGTACTTATAGTGCACTGGCAAGTATTTGATACCTACTTGGCTACTTCACATGTTGGACACAAGTCCATAGGTGTTAGAACTCAGAAATGAAATAATAGTATAATACATTAGAAACTGAGGGCTTAAATTAAAAAGATAATGATTCTTTGCAATCTTCAGTTTTGAAAATTATGAAAACAGTAAAAATATGATTTGTTTCATGAAGAGATACAATTTTCCGTTAATAATAAATAAATAAACCCTTAGACCGCCTGAAAAAATAACCCCGACTGTCCTGACTTGCACGTTATTTGAATAAGATACTATAAATCACTAATTTTACATACATTAATAATTGAAAAATATAATAAGAACTGTACCAAAAAAGAAAAATATAATAAGAAGAAAATGCCTTCACATGTGTTAGTCCACACTAGAAAAACTCATCCTTACATTCAGGGTGAAAGCATGGCGTTCTTCTTCTTAGGGAGGGTGGATAGGAAAGTTGAAAGAAGCCACTAATAGAAATATATGTTGGTATAGAAAAAAGAAGAGAAGGGGGGGGGGGGGGGGGGGGGACAAAGCGTGGTGTGGGTATAGAATGATAAACAAACAAAAAGTTCAATTTAATCACCAATTATGTAGAAAGCATATCAAATTCTGAAAAAGAAAAGAGAAAATAATGAAGCATGAACACCCCTAGTTATTTATTTTTTGGCGGGGGGAATTAGGTCAGCATTTTGGAGACCAGGATGGAAGGAAGTCAGTTTAGTTTATCAAGAAAAAAATTTATAGCCAAAAGGCCAATAGTATGTTACCTTAACATAGAATACAGGCCGCCCCCATAACAATGGGGCAAAGAACTTCCAACCATCATAATTTCAAATTGGGCTTTCAACATTAAATAAATCACATATTTTCCAATGAGCACAAGTTCCATGTGCATAAATGAAACAGAAGATAGAAAAAACAAACCATAGTAAGATATTGATTAAAGTAACAATAAGATGAAAACGAACAAAGCTTACACACGTTTTCCCTTGTGCAGTGAAGTACTAGACTGAGGATTCCCATTGACTTTCAAGCAGATAGCTAACTCACGAATCTTAGACTTGATTTCTTTTTTGACTGTCGCATTTCCTTCACCTTGAAAAGGAATTGCTTTGCTCTGAGGCTCCCAATAATAAGATTTTAACCAATCAAGTGCCTGAAATTATTAGCAAAACATGAAATGAGTTTGAGGCAGTGGGGTAAACATACTCAGTATGAAGGGAATAACTTCATATGCTAAGCACTTGGCAACAAACTCTCCAAATCCAAATAGGTGAATTCATAAAAGAAAACAAGGAAGCTTTTCATTTTTCTTTTCAGTTTCATGCTGACAACAAGCGGAAGTTCCATTAATACTGAGTATTTATGCATAGATCAGCAAAAGACATTTGCTTGAATGCTCCTAATTCCTGTGTATGTTACTGTCAAATGTGAAAGCATAATCAGTCTCATTACTCCAATAAAAGAACATTATACAGTTCAAGGCTTAAAGATTAAGAACTATAGGTACTCTCCCATTTCAACCCCAAATAAATTTAATTTTTTTAAGAAAATCTGTATGCAATGTTGTAAAGGGTAATAACTTCACAAGCTAGGTTCAAAATGCTGCTTGCTCACACAATATAGTTAAGCTGGCACATTGAAAATGATAAAACTATTATCTAGTTTCTTACTTACAGTCCTTCAAAGTCTAAACTAAATAGATGTTACCAAGGGTCCCATGATATGATTAATGATGCAGGCTGTCATTCGAACTGTGTCACCATAATGCTAAATAACTAAACCATGAGATAAAACAGAAATGAATATAGAAGGTGAAAAATGAAAATATGAAAGTAATTTAACAGTCGTTATACACAGAAAATAACAATTCTCTCTGTTCGAAAGATAGCATAAATTTTTGGGACTAACATGCATGTAGGCAGTCTTTCTATGCCATCGCCAATTCCCCGTAACAAACATGATTTTTATTTCATATATTCAAAGAACTGTGTTAGAGAACACCGACCTTGGGAAATAAAATTTGGTCTCATTAATTCCTAAATGCTAACAATGTAACCCCAACCATAGACCACACACGCTTGCTTAGAATTTAATCCAAGAAGTAAAGAGACTGATAAGACAGATCGTTAAAATGAGCCATACCTTAATGGAGGCACTACGAACAACCTTAAGTGATGGAAGCTCACGATGTGATCCCTCTGCAATTGCACCACTAAGTAAGACCAAAACAAGGCTTTTATAAACATAATAAACAAGAAAGTATTTGAAGTTCTTTCACCTCCCATTAGCACAATATTAACAAGAATAAACAAAGAGTTACAGAAGAAGACTTGTTTACCATGGCGAACATCAATCAGCATGCGTGGAATACCAATTGCATCAGCTGCCACAGCTATTGACACCAATTCTTTTTTGCGTGTCTTCTCAACAACACAATTCACAAGCCTGGAAAAACAAAACATAACACGATCAAATTTTACAAGAGAAATAAATAAAAATTAATTAGTCGAAAAAATAAATAAAGAAAAGGCGAGGAGACCTTATGATTGCCATGCAATACAGCAAAGCGAGCATCTCCTCCGATAGCGATGCGCCATTCGATTGATCTGGTCTACAATGAATTAAAAAAAAAAAAAAAATTGCTTTGAACAATTTTTTTTCTAATAAATAAAATATATATCGATGCAAAATTTTGATTAGAGTTACCGAAAATAGGGGTCTTTGTGGTGAATTTCGATGATGGAAGCAGTGACTTCGATGAGAACTGGCAAGGAACCTCGACTTCGCCATGCCGAAATCTGAAGTACAAAAATAGCGGCTAGGTTAGGTTAGGTTAGGTTAGTTAGGAGTTGCAGTAGTATTAGAGAAAGAAGAAAGTATAGAACTTACTCTGTTGAGAGCAGACGAAACAGAGTGAGGAGAATTAGAGAAGAGAGCGTCTTTGACGAAAATCCATTCATCCCAGTTCAACCAAGGAACTAACCTTCGTCCACTTGATGATGATGATGATTTTGTATCCTCTTCTTCCACATTGTGCTCTTCTTTGAACCCTGATAATATCAACTCCATCGCTAACGTCGGTTTTACCTTCAGCAAATTGCTTCCAAGCTAGGGCTTCGCTGTGTTTCCCTTTTGGTATCAAATAAATTGGTTTTGTAAAACAAAATTCAAAAGGAATCAAATCATAAAACAATAGAGTGATCTAATTGGATGGACTTTTATATATGGGAAAAATGTTTACGGAGATAAATTATCAACTGTATTTATTCTGAAAACCACATCTTTTTGGTATTGAAATATTAAAAAATTATAAATATAAAGAATATTATAACCCTAAAATAAATTAAAATTATAAAAACACCCTGGTTTTTGTCTCAAAATGATGTCGTATTGACTTACTGCAGATAACTTATTTATAGTAATTACAGAAAAAACGAACCCTTTATATATATATAATCGTTAGAAGGATTTTTTTCCAAATTAAAGCTATTTATCATTCTTATAAATATCTATAAAAAATTAAAATAAAAAGTAATATTTTAATTGAAAAATACGTAATTTTATATTATTTTAAGTGAAATTACTATTTTTTTTATAATTTCTTTTTCTTCTCTACAAAACAAAAAAGAGAGAAAAAAAAGTATTTTAGAGGAAAAAGAAGATAAAGAATTACCAAAATAAAATAGTTTCATTTAAAATGATAGAAAATGTATCTTTGATAAATATTTTTTTATTTTTTAAATAAATAAAGATATTTTAATTGAACTTTTAAAAAAAAATTCATCCAAATATAAATATGTAAAATATACTTTTATTTTGATATTAATAATTGTTTAGAGGAAAAAACAACCAAACAAATATTTAATATCATTAAGTTAGAAGGGACTGTTTATTTTATTCAAGTGATATTGGTAGGGTTTTTTTTTGGGGGGGCGGGGGGGAGGGGGTGCAAAAGACGATAGTAAAAAAAGTAATTAAAAAATATTATTAAAATAAAAATAATTTAATAATATCAGGCATTAGATGAAATTGTGTTTTTCCTTTAAAAAAAATGCTACTTTGGTGGATTATTGATACTTGTAAAAGAGAATTTTGTAGAAATTCAGTTATAACTCGACAAATTAAAATTTTATGGCAACATCGAGCAAAGTCAAATTTTTTATCAAATGTTATATAAATAGTATTTTTTATTAGATTGTGAAGCGTCAAAGTTTATTATGATTGGTAACGAACTTCGTTGTCAATAATTTTATGACATGTGGTATTTTTCTGAAAAAATTTAACTATATGACATATGAATAAGAGAAATGATATACTTACCACCAAAAAAATTTACAACATTTACGACTAATTTAATCATCGTTAATTTCCGTCAATCTAACAGTTTTAATTTATTGAAAATTATTGGGTCACATTTATTAATTAACTATTATTCTCAAAAAAAATATTGACAAAAAAATATACTATCAATCATAATGAATTTCAACAAGTGGCTGATAAAAAATATTATTCTGTTAACATTTGTATAAAAAATTTGTCAGTGGCACTTTGATCACTTGTTCTGTATGGGTGTTACACATTTGTATAAAAAATTTACTATCAAATTGGTGACACCTTCTGTTCGTCCCTCTTCCCTAGTGCGGGTTTAGTTGTATGTTCTGTTGAATTCTTTCGTAGATTGGCCTTATTCAACATATCATGTGGCTTTTTTCTTTCTTTCTTTTTTTTGTTTCTCATATTATGTGGCTTTATTCTGCGTATTTCTGTTTTACTGTGATGTGTAGAAAATAACGAAGAGGCTGTGTCAGTCTCTCATTCGATGCATTTGTTCTTCCACCCAAATTTTGATAAGTGGTGTGTTTTTCAGTCTTATCTTCTCGCTACATGTATCTTTTAGACGTGGTCCTGCTTGTTGATAGTTACCCTTCCGCAATTTTCTTTTGTGGGGAATTTCAAGTTTTTTTATTTTAATATCTATATATATTATTTCATACGTAGGATCTTTGTGGTTAACCAGGAGGAGGAGATGCCCAAGTGTCATTTTTCTGGTTGTCTTTCACACATTCAATTTTGAGCTGAATTTTCTTGTTTTCCATTTCTGCACATTAATAAGTCATATGTTCCGATGACGAAATATAAATATCAGTAAGAGGGTTATGATTATATTTAATTAATGCTTTTTATTTTCATACTAATTGTTAGTACATATTCATTAATTAATACTATTTCCTAAGTCATGCCGGAATTATTTTAACTAAAACAGATAATTATGCTCGAATAGTGAGTTAGCCACGTTGGCTGAGGTAGCAACCTGTCCCCGTTCAGTTACAGTGACTGGTTTGAAAAACGGAATATAACAATAGGCAAGAAGATAGAGATAGAAGAAGCATTTGAGTGCAGTGGTGAACTGAATAGTGAGTGAGTATGAGTGTAGTGATGGGGTTCAGATCACAAGTCCTTCGTATCTTGTTTCTCATCTTCTTCATCATCACTCCCTCTTCACTTTCTCAGTCTAACCAGGTCACTTCCCTCTCCCTCTCTCTCTCTCTCTCTCTCTCTCTCTCTCTCTCTCTCTCTCTTTTTGAGTTGACTTTCACTGAATTCATTTGCTTTACTTGTTCTAGGTTTTCTTAGAGTTAGATTTTCGATTATTTTAAGCATTTAACTAGTGATGATCATTACTGAACTGATATTTTTATTTCATCTTTGTCTTCTGGAATTCATTTTTTTCGTTTTTGAACGATTCAGTTTTGTGATGCTGGAATTGGATATGGAGACTCCACGTGTGGAACTGGAATTCCATCATCGAAGCTGTTGATCAAGGGGGGCACGGTCGTCAATTCTCACCACCAACAGATTGCTGATGTTTATGTTGAGGATGGTATTATTGTTGCTGTCAATCCTGATATTAGGGTATTTTTTTTATTAATTTTTTCATTTTTCTTCATTGTTTTCTGTTTTTGCTGCTGTTGTTTACAAGATGATATGTGTGCTGCTGTAGACATGCTTTTGATAGCATTTATATATATGCTTTATACTTAACGTTATAATATTTCATGTTAATTGCCTTTTTTCGGTGAGGTTGCTCTTTTTGGCGCCTCTAGAGCAGTGCTTTTTAACACCTTAAAATTTTTGTTACTTTCTGCTTTCTAATGTATGATCTGTTCCTTGTGTAATTTCCACTGGCAGGTTGGAGATGATGTGACTGTGATAGATGCCACTGGGAAGTTTGTCATGCCAGGTTGGGCCTTAAAATTTCAATCTAACACCTATAAAATAGTTCACTAGTTAATATCTACACGTAAACTGCACAGATGAATCAGGTCCTGCTATAATGAATGCGATAGGTGAAAGATCAATACACAAAAGATCATGGGAAGATACAGATCTATATAGTCTTTTTCAATCTACTGCAAAATCTTGTGTAAAACGAAATTTCGGTCCTAAATTAGGCACTTGATGCACTGGATGATTCTGTTACACGCCTACACCATAGGAAGTTGGAAAATCACCTTGATGATATCACTTGCTGTATGCATGGAAGTGAGTTATATTAAATTCCATCATGTTGAGTTCCAAGCTTCTTCTTTTTTTCTTTTTTTTTTTAATGTAGTGTGACCAGATTGGTGGAATTCCTACTTATGCCCTTTGCTCTTGTTTGATCCACTGTCAATGTTGTTGTTTTAGTCTCCTCTAGTCCTGGCCTGGATATTTTCACAGTATTTGGGTGTGAGACTAGTCCTGTTTGGTGTACTGAGACTCATTGTTAAATTTCTTTCAACCTGCTTTGGCATCAACCATTTTTTTGTTTTTTAATCTTACCTGACAGACTATGAATGCATCTTTTCGTTAACTGGCAGGAGGCATTGATCCTCATACCCACCTAGAGATGGGGTTTATGGATTTTGTATCGATAGATGACTTCTTCAGTGGTCAGGCTGCAGCATTAGCTGGTGGGACAACAATGCACATTGACTTTGTTATACCAGTTGATGGGAGTTTAACAGCTGGTTTTGAAGCCTATGAAAAGAAGTCGAAGAAGGCTTGCATGGATTATGGTTTCCATATGGCTATTACCAAATGGGACGAAACTGTTTCAAGAGAAATGGAGCTCATGGTCAAGGAGAAAGGTTATACTTTTTTTACTTATTGCGTTTTGGTAATTTGGTTGATCATGCAGCAATAACCCTTTGGATGAGTTCTGAGGAATTTATTTGGGGTAATACTTCTATGTTTTCTAATTGCAGGTATCAACTCTTTTAAGTTTTTCATGGCATACAAAGGAGCTCTTATGATCAATGATGAGCTTCTTCTGGAAGGATTTAAAAAGTGCAAGTCCCTTGGTGCCTTAGCCATGGTCCATGCAGAAAATGGAGATGCTGTGTATGAAGGGCAAAAAAAAATGATAGAACTTGGAATAACTGGTCCTGAGGGGCATGCTCTTTCAAGGCCTGCAGTGGTAAATTCTCAATTAAAAAGTGTAACCACCCTAGTTTGACATTTGTTGTGTTCAGTTTTTGATCTTTTTCGATGAACCACATTTAGTTGGTATGTAATTGGATTGATTTCTTGTTTTGTATTCGTATATTGTGTGATTACTGTAAAGTCTAAATATCTGTCTGTGTGTGATTTATAGAACATTTCCCTATTTGACTTGTGTACCTGTGTAGTTGGAAGGAGAGGCAACTGCTCGTGCTATTCGCTTAGCAGATTTTATTAACACTCCTTTATATGTGGTTCATGTAATGAGCATTGATGCAATGGAAGAAATTGCAAAGGCCCGGAAATCAGGTTCTTAACTTTAATCCTTTAGTTTTATTCTTAATTTTCATTAATGTGTTCCACAGTAACAATGCATTCGTTGAGAGAAGTAGACAATTGCAACATATAAAATAAGAAATCCTTTGAAGAAAAGCTAATACTTTTGCATAACAACATTCTTATTTTATGGGGAAAATATGCTAAAAGAAGACTTGTTCTTGAATTGATAACAGCCAAAAATAGGTTAACTTGAGAACAATTATAATTCCACTCGTGCTGTACTATACTATTTTATCTTTTCTGCCGTAAGTGCGGAAACTCAGGGCAACTAAAATCACTTGAACTTAATTGAGAGTCTGAGACTTAATTGCTGCTTGTGATGAGATTATTTTGGGGGGATACCGTTTAAGGTTGCTTGTGTTCCCTTTTCCTCTGTATTTATGTATACAAGAGGCAAGTGCTTCCCAAGGAAGATTGCATTTCTGATATGGAGAAGACTGGGTTGCCTTGATGATTTTTTCTTTCCTATTTCATTGTTCTGTACTTTTCTGATTCAGAGGATTACTTATCCTCTCCCTAGTTGTACTTTCCCTCTTTTCATTCTACCCTGAAAAAAGATAAAACAGTTTCCCTAGCCTAATCCCAGATCTTATGCAATTGAAAGGATATAAGAATTTAGGATGAGAATTTGATATTTATTTTTATATCTATTTTTCTTCTGAATGTGGATAGGTGATGACCATATAAGTTTGAACTTACTGCAGCAATTGCTATTAGTGGAGTACTCTCTAGTCTCTTTAGAATACTATTTAGGTATGACAATCATGCTTGTTTTGTTCTATGACCAGTGCCCCCATTTATATTCGTTTTTCACCTCTCCATGATGAATCAAAGCATCCTTTATGATGGAAAGTAAATTCTTTATGGCCATAAAGATGGATTGAGTTTTTGATGGAACCTGATTTTATTTACTGTAAATTGATGAAATCATAAATGGAGACAAGCTCCTTAAGAAGACTAAAAGCAGAAATATAAACCCAAAAGACCTCAACTCCCTCTCAAAGCCAACATACCTACGGAGTTCCCAAGAGATCCCCAATTTCCCCACTAAACCAATACTCAACTCATGCCTAAAGAAATCACACCCTTAGCATCTATATATGACTAATTCCTAACTAATGGGCTTGGATATTTTATTAAAGGCCCATCAGTTTTCCAATCATGTTTCATTCTTACTTTCAAGTTTTTACACTTGTTCACATTAGCTTATGTTCGGAACTGGAGTGCAATAAACCAAACACAATAAAAAAGAGATTTGGATGGAAGATCCTTTTTGTTTTTCTGGTTCATGTGTTTCAAGTGTGACATTTTAAGTTTTATTCATAATTTAGCTGTAGTGATCTCTCCTCGTTTTGAAACTGCAGAACAGAGGATAAGTTTATGTGTTTCCACTGTGACATTTGGAGTTTTTCTGTTCCCTGATAGATTTAGCGAGGTCACCTGTGTGTTTTCATACTGCAGGACAAAGGGTAATTGGAGAACCTATCGTCTCTGGGTTAGCCCTTGATGAATCTTGGCTTTGGCATCCTGACTTTGAGACTGCAGCAAAGCAAGTGCCTTCACTTGTTGCATTGTTTTTTGTACTTGTTATTCTTTGCTGTCTTCAGTTTTAAGAATGTAAGCCATATTCATTCTCATGATTCAGGTATGTCATGAGTCCCCCTATTAGGAGACGAGGACATGATAAGGCCCTTCAAGCTGCCCTTTCAACAGGAGTATTGCAGGTTTCACATTATAAGTCAGACTTAGGTTCAGTTTTAAAGATGAGGGTTTGAGGCAGGGACGAATCCAGGAATTGACCATTGAAGGGTCCAAAATCGTATAAGATATTTAAATGAAAAAATCTTAGTTCCAGTATTAAATATATCATACGTTTAGTGAAGTGAGCACAATGTTATTTAATATGATAAATTCCATCTATGATTGAAATAATCTCAAGTTTTTCAGCAAAGAAATGAAAGATAATTTTGTACCATGGTTGTTAATTCCTCCTAGTCTTTTGCCTTGGATTGTTTAATATGCTATATACACATCCAGGTTTACACTAAACTTTTTTCCATTTCATTGATGTGAATATATTGAAGCTTCCTTTTTTTAATTTTCTCTTTTTACTAATCTGTGTCTCTTTGAGAATAAAAATTCTGCTCTAAATTTGTTGGCCTATAAAATACAAACTTATCAACCCAGTTAGTATTTTGATTTTTGTACAATATGAGCTAACAAAACGAAGGGGAGCCTTGCTGTCTTGGCACAACAGTTGGTGTTGTCACCATGTGACCCGAGGTCACAGATTTGAATCATGTAATCAACCTCTTTCAAATGTCAGGGAAGGTTACCTACTATAAACCTACACAATTGATCTGACTCCTCCCTAGACTGTGTGTGTGGCGGGAGCTATAGTGCACCACGTTGTCCTTTTACGAGCTAACAAAGCTTAAATAGTGATTGTAGAGGCTATTTTAACTTTACTTGAAAATTATACTGTCTATGATAGAAAATGGAACCATGGTTGGGGGAACAAGGCTCCTGCTTGGCGTCCCTCCATCCATCCCTGGTTTAAGGAAGTAGTTTGGATGGTCTCAGACTCTCAGGCATATATGCATCCTAGCACTTTTGATTATTTCTGATCTCTGAATTGTCTATGCCCTGAGCCCAATTTTATTCTCTTTACTAGATCGTTCATTTGACCAAAAGATACCTTTTATTAATTTGCAGCTGGTAGGAACCGATCATTGTTCCTATAATTCCACCCAGAAAGCTCGTGGAATTGATGACTTCCGGAAAATTCCTAACGGTGTCAATGGTAATCACATGATGGTCCTGTATATTTGCGGCCTAAATATATTCTGGTTGATTTTGAAATGTTTCGTTACTAATGTGCATTGCAACCTGAAATCTTTAGGTATTGAAGAAAGGATGCATGTGGTATGGGATACCATGGTGGTAAGATAATCAATTTCCCACTTAGCCCTCCCTTTCTTGTTAGGTTGGGGTAAATCCATGAAACAGCCTCCTTGCTATTATGCAAGGGTAAGACTGCATATAAGAATTGTCCTCGCCCCACTCTTGTTATTCAGGATTTAATGGGGAGTGATTTTATATCTCACAGGAATCTGGCCAAATCTCTGTCACTGACTATGTCCGGTTGACAAGCACTGAATGGTATGTTTTCTGTTAATCAAAGTAAAAATTGGCATCCAGTACTTACGGCAATAAGGGGAATTCAGAATATTTTATTATTTTTATTTTAATTTGACAAAGCTGTTGCTAAAGATGCAAAAAGTATTAATGATGTTTTTTTATTTCTACAACCACTTCAGTGCTAGAATCTTCAATATATATCCAAGGAAAGGAGCAATTCTTCCAGGATCTGATGCAGATATTATCATCCTCAATCCAAATTCAAGCTTTGAGATAACTGCAAAGTCCCACCACTCCAGACTGGATACAAATGTCTACGAGGGAAGGAGAGGAAAGGTACTGATTTAACTATAATCTGGTCCATCTAGGGATTGAAGTTAATTAACTGCTAACGCGCAAAATTAGTCTTGCACGAATCTCCTTGTTTTGGTATGGACTTTCACTTAAGGGTTTTTTTTTGTTTTTGTTTTTCCTGAACAAATTTTTGGGTATTACAAGGCCTCCATGCTCATAGGTAGCTACATAGAAGTGGTATATTGTAAAATAAGAATTGGAGATATAGTCCTATTCACTTAAAATGCTTTTCATTGATGTTATTATATTGAGTTCTGAATTTGGTAGGGCACATTGGTTTTGCATTTGGCCCAACACTAGGGTTAGTGGCTTAACATTAGACTGCTAGAAGTCATTCCAGGCTTCCAGCCTTATAATTGGGAAAAATGTTAGTCCTTTTAAAGGATGGTCATTTTAGTTAAAACTAGTTTTTTTATTTAAAATCTAAATTAAAAAAAAAATCTCCCGCTTTCTTCCCCCCATGATTTCTATTGTGTATCTCTTTCTTTCACTTAAAATGACACAATTTAATATCCTTTAAAAGGACAAACACCAATTCCTTTTTAATTTCTGTCTTATTCTATGGGTTATTAATGTGGATCATCTCATGGTAACATGAGGTTATGTGAGACAATCTTTGTCATCCATAGACAAATCAATGATTACTATTTCTTCTTTCTTTTTCCTAATGTGCTCTCCATAACCGTTGATATGTCTACGGATAATCAAGATCGTCTCACATGAGTGAAACAATTCCCATCAATGAGAAGAATAAGTTATTCTTAAAAACTAGCACTGCCTTTGGAATTGCAGATGCACTGCACTACAAATAACTTTTGAGTGGGCTAATTGTGACTTCTTTTCCTAAAGCATATCTCTGGGCTTTGGATTTCTCTCTCTCTCTATTCATCCCTCTCTGGGCTGAGTCTCTCACCACTTTTCACTTGATTTGTTCATGTTGTGTTCTTTTACTTGGTGTCCTATGGCTCCATTCAACTTGTGCTTCTTTGTATATTTTTCAATAATTGAAGCATTCTCATGTAATATCAAGATTCAAAGTTCATTTATTTATTTATTTTGCAGGGAAAAATTGAAGTGACCATAGCAGGAGGAAGAGTTGTTTGGGAAAATAATCAACTGAAGGTTGCTCCTGGTACTGGGAGATACATACAAATGCCACCTTTTAGTTATCTGTTTGATGGAATGGACAAGAAGGATGCCGATTATCTAAGCTCTCTTCAAGCCCCAGTAAAGCGAGCCAAATCTACCACTTAAAATTTTTTGGGTTCCTTCTTTAGTAAAATTTCAACATTTTACTAGGGAAAAAACAAAGAAGTATGTTAATCCAGTTTTCCTTTCAAATAAAGAAAAATATGTATAATATTGTACCGAAGAGCATCGCATTATATTATTATATATATATATTTCGTGTTACCTTTTCCACTAATGTAATGTACATTACTTAGATTGAATGAAAAGCAATTGGGGAAAAAGAGACAATAGCTCCAATAAGATACTGTACAATATTTAGCATACTTATATTATGGAAGCTGCTGGTCAGGTTTCCATTGATCCTGTCTCGTCTATATACATATTCTACAAAGTCATAGATCCCTCGTACGTTTAATAACATGCCATTGATTTGAAAATAAAGGAATGGCTTTGGTTCTTATCATATTAAGGCCTAATGCAGCAATTTATGTAGGTCAGAATCCTCTTTTTCCCCTGCATGATAATAAACAACAAATGAATCAGAAATTGTATTGACTGATTCCACTCTACTGTCATTAGGCCAACATGAAATAATTATGCGACTGAAATAGGAAGTGCAGAAAATTGTCTCACCACGACTACAGGATCTTCATGAGCATGAGCATCAACATGGGCATGGGCATGACCGTGACCGTGATGACCGTGATGACCGTGAGCATGATGAGCATGCTTGGCATTGACGAAGTCCCGTTCATTTCCAAGGCTGTTATGCTTGATTTCAGTTAGGTCGGTCTTCTGATGTTTTTTGTTTACACGAGCTTGGGTGAACACCATTGAATAGTCAGTAGCTCCGGGAGCCTTTTGGTCCCACCCTCCAAATTGAGGCACGGACGTCATAGCAAGGTTTTTTCTGCATAAATTGGATATTAATAATGTTTAATCTAAACCTTTGTTGCTCATTCTTGGACATGCAAAAAGAAAAGTTTGTTTGGAGGGATAATTGGAAGTTTCATCCTGAACTTGTATTTGTTAATACCCCTTTGAAGTTTGAACAATGCACATCAACAATTTCAATGTTCCAATACATCTCTGTCTTTTATGTAGATTTAAGCTTGCTTACCTTTTACCTCCTTTCTTTCTATGGTTAAATTAGAGGCAAGGGACCCCTGGAATCTGGAGCTGCGACTACTGTACCAATTAAGGTGTTTATCACTGCTACTTTTCTTTTTCTTTTTTTTTTGTAAAGCATTACTGCTACTTTTTCAACATATATATGCCTGATTGAAAATGAACATTTTGTTACGCTAAGTATCCAAAATATCCCAGCTTCGAGGAGGAATCAACGGAATTGACGTATTTGTAGATATGAAATCTTGTGTTAAGAGTAAAAGTAGGACAAAAAAATATGGTTGTCCACTTACGGCTTTCCTTCTGTTACGAACTTGTGCATATTAGAACATAAGATTGTCCAAGTTTAGGGTACATATGGTTATATTATTCAATGCCAGAAAAGATACTTGCACACAGCTTTTGCACCAAAGAAATGTAACTTCTCAACAAAAAAAATAAAAATGTAACTTCTCAAGAAACAAAATTTAAAATAACTTACTCCCCAAACTAATTTCTGGCATGCACCATGCATATGTCAGTATTTTACCTTTGGTTGCTTTAAAATATAGTTTAATTTTTAAATTTAGTAATTAAGAATGTATTTATTTTTACTTATTTACTTTAGAAATATCCTCACTTTTTTTTTTATCCTCACTTTAAAAAAGAATATTTACTTACTTACTTTTTTTAATAATTTAAAAATATATAACTAGATAACAATCATAGTATAATGAAATTATATTAAAATGCACATATTGTTGGATTGGACTTATGTTTCGCATTTAGATGAGATGACACTTTTGTTGGCGGAATAGAGAAACGAGGTCCCGCTCCTGATGAGCTGGCAGGTATCCGAAAAAGCTGCTCCTGCGAGGGTGTGGGGATAACGTCCTAGGATCGCAGAGACCTGGTATTATTGTGGGCCTTTGACTTATTTTATTTTTGATATTTTCTTAGTAGTTTGGGCTTGGCACATGAATAGGTAGCTTAGGATTTTTAATCCTATTTATATTCTCTTTATAAACCAAATGACTCGTAATGAAAAGGGTCAGTGATAAGAATATAATGCATATTGGCATTGGGTTTAAAGGAGTGTATTGGATTGGAATTTCAAATGATTTTAATGAATTATTTTTTGACAAAAAAATTCATTCGTATTCAATTAGGATTTTAATAGATTGAAAAAAAGTCATGTGGTTTTCGATTAGAATTTTAAAATATTATTTTAGAGTTCGTCCACATCCGTTGTTATTCAATCAAGATTTTAAACAATAAAAAACCAATCTTGTGGTATTCAAAAATCTAACGATTTTAATGGATTTTCTATTGGTGTGGATTTCGTGAGACTTTTTAATAAGAAATATAAATGAGATACTTCTCTTACAATCTCATCCTAACCCCTAGGATTTCTTGAGATTTCTCTATTGCAGTACTTTCTTCTTCCTTTGGTAGGTTAACCCACTCGAAATCAGGTTCCGCCATGAGAGCTTCATCAAAACTCAAAAATAGCATATTTTTGAGCGATTTTTGTTACAAAATAACCCAGAAACAATAAACTATCTCAAAAATAGCATATTTTTTAGCCGTTTTTGAGAAATTTTGGAAGTTTAAAAAATGGTATTTCACGCTATTGGTCGCGGTTTTTCTTGGCACAAAAATGTTTGATTTTTGTATTAAAAATAACACATAAAATAGTGAGAAAATAATAAGGGAACTAAACTCCTCAAACCAATTTTTGTTCTACATCAATGACACAATATCAATTTAAAGAAAAATTGAAATTTTCATAATATGAACTCTATATTTCGTAACAATACATTCATAAACGAAATTCCTACACTATAGGAAACGATTTCAAAAAATATTTGTGTCAATAGATAACTAAAAACTTATTTTTCAAAAGGCGCAAAGCAATTTAAGGTTTCAACGTATTGATTGAAAAAAATTTGAGAAATTTTCATATAATAAAATCCAGAAATTAAGATTCAAAATTTTCGTAGAATATTCAGTGAAAATATGCATATGATATATTGTTAGAAAACTCTCATCACGTAGAACAAAAATCCCATGGTTTTCAAGATCAATTGTAAAAAATTTCAAATGAAATTTTATCATGAATTTTAGGTTCAATATGCAAATTTAGAATTATTTTAATAACTAAAAAAATTTAGGTCTTATAATCATATATGCATAGCTTTCATATCAAATGAATAAGATGATTTTCAACTTATTGGTCAAATCCAAGAGCAGGAATGAGAAAATGTTAATGTGTGGACTCCGTGGAGGACTAGTATAACTTTAGATATGTGAAAAGTTGTTGCTGAGTAATTTTAAATGTTTGTTAAAAATTTATTATGTTTTACTAATTGAGAAAATTATATTAGGTTTTACTCCTTTTTTATCAATTTCATTGCATTTCTTTGTTATTTTTTTTTATTGACTCTTGTAATTTTTAATATTTGTTAAAAATTCATATGATTTTTTGAAATTTTATAAATTCATATTATCCTTTCAAATTTTATAAATTCTATTAAAATACTTTAAAATCTAATCTTATAAAATTTTAATTGTAAAATAAATTTTTTTAAAAAGTCTTTAAAATCCTTCTAATTTTAAATAATTTTTTAAAATCTATATAATTATTTATCAAAAAAAATAATTTAAAATCCTAATCCAATTTGGAGAATCAAGTAAATCGTAATCTTTTAAAATCTTTTAACTCAGATGGGATGAATCAAGTAAATCACTGTCTTTATAAACCCGAGCCCAACTCAAGAACTGACCTAAAAGGACTTGTCACTCGATTTTAAATTGATACTCAGATTAGATTATTGGTGAATTTTCCTTCACTTTCTGTCTATCCAAACAGCACAGCGGTGAGTGATGGCAACGATCAGCCTCCGGAAGGGGAACACGCGGTTGCCGCCGGAAGTGAACCGAGTGCTGTACGTGCGGAACCTTCCGTTCAACATAACCAGCGAGGAGATGTACGACATATTCGGAAAGTACGGTGCGATCCGGCAGATCCGCATCGGAACCAACAAGGACACGCGCGGAACCGCCTTCGTGGTGTACGAGGATATCTACGACGCGAAGACCGCCGTGGACCACCTCTCCGGGTTCAACGTGGCGAACCGTTACCTGATCGTGCTGTATTACCAGCAGGCCAAGATGAGCAAGAAGTTCGATCAGAAGAAGAAGGAGGACGAGATCGCTCGCATGCAGGAGAAGTACGGCGTCTCCACCAAAGATAAATAGCAACTTTCAATTTGATTCTCGTTTCTAGGGTTCTTCTTCCCCTGTGACTCTTTGTTATGTTAGGGTTTTCGATAAAAATTGGCTCTTTGTATCTATGCTGTGTGCTTTGGTTGATTGTATCGTTTATTCAAGTAACTATAGATGCTTAAGGTACTATTGATGATTGTACCCAACGATATGATTCAGATGAAACTTATCAAATGAAATTCTAATTGCAAATTTTTGTATGTTAATACATCTAGCCCTAGAAATTGTCACAGGTGAATCCAAGAGTAGAAAGCTTATATAATATTTTAGTGTTTACTGTTAATTAAACTCCGAAGGTACATGTGATGAGAAGCGTGTTCAAAGATATAAACTTCAAAACACCAAATGATGGTTGATCGGGAAGGTGGGGTTGAATAAACACCCTTTTAATTTTTGACTCCTAAGTGAGCGTGGGGAAAGTTTTTTTCTCAAATTTCGGATTAGTCCATTGAGAATTTATGGAATTATCGGGGATAATCTGAAGAAAAAGAAAGATATAAACTGAACAATGCACATATTTATACATCATAAATAAACACCCTTTTAATTTGACTCCTAAGTGAGCAGCAATTACAATACAAGATTTTCACAGGAAAGAAAAGTAGAAAAGAAAAAAAAAACAAAACCAACCAACAAACCAAACACCTAGTAATCTTCACTTTTCTCACAAGTTAGTTTAAGTTCTTTTTCTTCTCCTATTTTGTTTGTATCAACCTTGACCCATTCCTCCCTTACATCCCCTCCCTCCCTAGTCCCAACCAAACAGCTACCATGCATGACAGTTCTTGATCTTTCACTCATCAGCATCTGCAACGGTAAAAACAAAGAGATGGTGATGATGATGATGATGATGATCATGCCTGTTAAATGTCTTTACATAGTCCCCCATTAATACAAGGTTGAATCACGCCTCTTCTTGGTATGAGCTTCTGGGTTTCCTTTGGTCATCATTGCAGCAAACTCATCATAGTTAATCCGGCCATCCTGCGCAATCATGCAAGTTTTCTCATAAATTTTCTAAATCAAGACTCAAATCTGCAGTATACTAACCATGTATGTATGTGCAATAAATTTAATTCGTTTGGTACAGGACTTACATTATCTGCATCAACTTCTGAAATGATTTCCTTGATGTCCCTGCCATCATGCATGTTATACTCGTGGAGAGCTTGCTCTAGTTCTTCAATGGTAATGTACCTGATTTATGGCAAAGCAATGAGATTAGAACCTTCACTTTAACACCAATTAGTTTCCGAAGGAGTGGCTAATATTTATTCAATCTAATTGATTTTATTTTATTTTTCATTACCCGCTGTTATCTTTATCAAAGTATTGGAAGGCAGCATAAACATGTTCTTCTCTGTTCATTCGGTTCATGTGCATTGTTGCTGCGATGAACTCGTCGTAATCAATGGTTCCATTGCCATCAGCATCTGCCTGTAATTTGCAGAAGAAAAAAAGAAAACCGTGTAAGTAATCGTAGTAGAGAAGCTACATTTGGGAAGTAGTAGTAATTAAAAAAATGCAGGAGAGGTAACTTACAGCTTCCATTAAATGCTTAACTTCTTGTTCTGTCAGCTTAGTCCCTTGCTTTGAAAGCCCTTGCTTGAGCTCTTCAATTGTGATGGTTCCACTGTTGTCAGTGTCCATCCCTTTGAACATCTGCTTCAATCCCATGATTTCTTCCTCTGATAAGCAGCCGGCAATGACCTGCCATTAGCAAATTTTAGCATCATTTTGCTTAATTTATACAATTTCAATCGTCATGTAGAGAGGAACAGAAAAATGCTGGCTAAAAAAAAATTAATAGTTAGTAAGAATCCTGATAGAATTTTTACTCCAAAAAGACTCGTGAGTCTCTTTAATTAAGCCAAAATAGCATCATTACCCTTAGAGCAACTCTCTTGAATTGGTTCATTGCTCTGAACTGTTTGAGCCTATTCAGCACTGCATTGTCAAGAGGTTTATCTGGCGCCTCTCCATCCTCCTTGATCCATGGATGATCTGTTTTTGGCAAGAGAAGTGCTTTGTTAGAATTGCATTGAACCAATCTGTGGGGGCTAAAGTAAAATTAATTTGTAAAGTTCATAGAAAGGATGTCAATGAATATAACTCACTCAGAACTTGGTAGGCTGTCAACCTCTGCTTGGGATCCGAATTCAACATTTTCCTTACAAGATCTTTTGCAGCAGGCGAAATGGACGGCCATGGATCGCTTGTAAAGTCAATGTGGCCTCTTAGGATGGCATTGAATATCCCATTTTCGGATTCTGTCAAACCAAACCTTGGTTTCAGTTTCAACTTATGTAGACATACCATCAATTTGGGAGGAATGCTATTTATTCTAATTAAGCTATGCAAACTAGGAATTTATTTTTTTATTTTTGGATGGGGGGGGGTATATAAACCTGCCCAAAATGGAGGAACGCCGGATAAAAGAATGTATAGCATGACACCGATACTCCAAATGTCTGCTTCGGGCCCATATTTCCTCTTCAAGACCTCAGGTGCAATATAATACGCACTACCAACAATGTCTTTAAACATCTCTCCTGTCCAAAAAAAAAAGAGAGAGCATAAATTCCCTGTTAAAATATTCTTCATTTATATTTGTTGATTATGTTATCATACTAAAACTATTCCTATCGAGCATATTGATATTTTTTAGGGGTGCATTCTCATGCAAATTAACTCTCCTTATAATTAAATAAAGGAAATATATTTTCTCATGTTGCATGAGATAATTTATCTCATGGATGAAACTCATTTGTTTTCTTTTTTCTCTTTTCTCCTTGGTAGGTCTCACTGTTTTTTTATGTGTTGCATGAGATAAATTGTGACATGCAACATGAGAAACTATATTCCCTTGAATAAAACCTGATAATGAATAAAGAAAAACAGAAGAGAGGTGAGTTAGAATTAGAACCTTGCTTGTAAAAAACTGATAAGCCGAAATCGGTGGCCTTGAGGGGTGCATTCTCATCCTTGTTCAACAAAAGGAAATTCTCAGGCTTAAGATCCCTATGAATGACACCCAAGGAATGACAAGTATGAACGATCTGAACAATGGTTCTCATCAAGGAAGCTGCAGCACGCTCAGTGTAATGGCCCTTGGCAATGATACGGTCGAAAAGCTCACCACCTGCACACAACTCCATGACCAAATGAACAGAATGCTTATCCTCATGGGCACCAACGAGTTCCACAATATTAGGTTGCCCCGTGAGGTGGTGCATGATTTGAACCTCCCTCCTAACATCCTCTATGTCCTCCTTGTTCACAAGCTTTCTCTTGGCTATGGTTTTGCATGCAAATTGTTTACCAGTGGCCTTGTGTGTGCACAAATGGGTCACACCAAATTGTCCTCTCCCTAGCTCCTTCCCCATTGTGTAAGTGGCTTTCACATCCTCCATTGGCCTTCCAAGGACAGGACCAATTGGTGCTGGTTTTGATTGCTTAGAAGGAGGAGGTGATGGTTTGGATGATGATGATGGTGGTGGTTGTGATGGGGTGTTGCCAGAATCTGCAACTGCTGCATCTTGCTGCTGGTTGGTTTCTCCCTTGGGGGCAGGTTCATCATCAGAGCCACCTGAGCAACAGTTGCCCATGGTGGAAGGGAGAAGAAAACTCAGAAAAAAAAGGATGTGGGAATGGCAAAAGGTGGTGAATGTGGATGGATATCAGAATATTAATTGGGGGTTTGAGGGTTGTATAATGTTAGGACAGAAACTAGAATGAAGAAAAAGAGTTATTGGTTGAAAAAAAAAAAAATCTAAAAAAACTAAGGGAGAAAATTAAAGGGTGTTAGTTAAAAATGATAGTTGATTGAAGGTATTGACAGTGATAGATTGTAGGAGGGAAACAGACTTTGGCGTGTCTCTTAGGTGGTATTGATAAGGTTTATTTCAGACAAGGGTGAGGAGCAATTCTCGGACAAGGAAAATAAAAATGGAATTTTGGTCTGTTATTAAGGTCAAATTAAGGATCTTGTTTCAACAAATGAGTTGGGAGTTAAGAGAGATGGAAGTCGTTACTAACATCATATGCATATATAGTTTTCTTTTCGTAACAAAAAAGTGTCAAGTCTAAACATGTCTCGAGCAGTAATCTTAATAAACTGTCCGTTTAGATATCTACTTTAAAAAAAAAAATAACAACATAAATGAAAAACCTGCAATTTTTTTAAGGGAAAAACTATTCTCATGTTACATGAGATAAGTTTTCTCTCCTACACACCCTTCGATAACTATGCCACTTTTTTTTTTTTTTCAGGTGGTGGAAGTCACAAGTTTGTCTCTATAACATGAGATAACTTATCTCTTTTAACATGATATTAATAAAACCTTTTTTTAATCTAAATTTTTTAACTTTGAGAAGTTAAAAATCAAATATATTTTTCAAAATTCATATTTGCCCCACTACCATCTCCTCCAACACCATTGTCGTTACCACCATCATCATCACTTTCACCACTATAGCTGTCACCACTACTATAATCGCTACCATCACTATTACCACACTTATTTGCCATTACTAAATCTTGTTTCTATGATTTGCTTTTACTCATTTTTTATAATTTTATACATAAAAATTTCTTAATTTTAATATTTAAATATATTTAATTAAAAATATTTTTCACGTATTATATTTAAATGTAAAATAATTTTACCTTTTAAAAAAATCCTAAAATAAGGAAGGCATAAATTGTTTTTTAAAAAATAAACTTGTTCAAATGGCGCACATGTTTACATAAAACAAGTGAACTCGGTTGAGGGTACATAAAATAATACTACTCCGATTAGTTTTAATTTTAGCTACTTTAAAAATATTTAAGTGAAACTTATCATAATAATTAGAGATGACAAAATGAGTTGAACCTAATGGATCAACTCATCAACCCACCAAAATGGAACAAGTTTGGTTATACATATCAACCCATCAACCCGATTCAATCTGTCCCGCCTATAGGCGGGTTAAAACGGGCTAGGGGCGAGGCTGGTCAACCCACATGTTAAGAATTATTTTTTAATTTTAAATCATAAATAATATATTACGTAGTATGAGGTTACTTTTTCCAACTTTTCCATTTGAATTCGAAAGCAAAGTAGTAGTCGTGAGACTTCTCTACTCTTATCTTCTCTAGTATTTTTTTGTTATGGTAAGAACCTTGAGGTGCACCACCCCAAAAACTAACTCAAAGGGTGAGAATGCCCAAGATCTTATAAATCTCACATTAATTGTCCATACAACTATTGTGGGACTCCAAGTCCCATACCTTTCAAATGAGATCGTAACATTAAATGGTACGGTTTTTTATTTTTATTTTATTATTTTCTGAATTGTTGGTGTTCTGCCCTAGGCAGATGTGTCCAATTAGGATTGGATGATTGATCTATGATTCAGGTGTCTTCTCTGGATACCTATGAGTTAGGTATCTTGAGGACAGCAGATCACACACTATCTGATGGCCTTAGCCCTGGGAAAGGTGTGTGTGTGTACTATCTAGGCTGCGTAACTAAGTAAAAAGAGATTAGGTCATACCTGTGGCGTTTAGCTCCTATTTATAATGCTTACATGTGGGCCTGTGCTGATCATGGGCCTTACTGACCATAGGCCTCATTCTGGTCCATAACAGTTGGGTTGTTCAAGTAGTGGGTAGTTATTTCTATTTCAACTTTCCTAAATGATAGGTTATAGTTACTAGTGGAGTCTATCTAGTGCTAGTGGGTAGTTATTTCTAAGGTTGTCATGTATTATCTATTTAAACCTTGAAGTACTTGAATAAAGAAAATCAGAAGAATTATTTGAAAAATAGCACTATGTGCAAGAGGTCGGGTTTCCTCAGTAAAGCCATTTAAGGTCAGGCTTCCTCAATAAAGCCAAATTCTCATTTTTATTTATTGTGGTAACAATTGGTATCAAAGCTCAGGCATATTCAGAAATAGGAAGACGCGGTCCAATCTTTGTCGGAACAATTCAAGGAGATGTTCAATCAATTCTCCAACCAGTTGGATGTTTTGGCGCCTAACAGGCCCAACACCCTCTCATCTACTATTGGGCTGGAAAAACTATACGAGGCCCGCGATCAAAAGATCATCTTTCCTGCTCAGAATGTGCGACGGATAAAAGTCAGCAACACCAAGGGTTCACCTTTATCCACTTCCACCAGCGGTGCTGCATCTTTCGGCTGTGGCGCCTCCTCCACCCGTTCGAGTCTCGTTCGATGTAATGATGCATTCACTCCAGGTCATCGCTACAAACAATTGTTCACCATCCAAGCAGTGACAAAAGAGAGCGACGACGAGGCGGTGATGGACGAAAGTGAAGGAGAAGCGGATATTGAAGATGATTCAATTACTTGATGATAATATACTCTTGAGGACAAGAGTTATTTTTAGGGGAAGGGAATGTTACGGTTTTTTATTTTTATTTTATTATTTTCTGAATTGTTGAGTTATTCAAGTAGTGGGTAGTTATTTCTATTTCAACTTTCCTAAACGATAGGTTATAGTTATTAGTGGAGTTTATCTAGTGCTAGTGGATAGTTATTTCTAAGATTGTCATGTATTATCTATTTAAACCTTGAAATATTTGAATAAAGATAATCAGAAGAATTATTTGAAAAATAACACTCTGTGCAAGAGGTCGAGTAAAGACTTTACTCAGTAAAGTCATTTGAGGTCAGGCTTCTTCAATAAAGCCAAATTTTCATTTTCATTTATTGTGCTCTTAACATTTTACCTGATAATTTATACTGCCGCATATCAACTTCTGGTCTCGATTCGATTGTATTACAGTGGTTCAATACATTCTAATTGAGATGCTTTTATTGTGATCAATTTTATTCCCCTCTATTGTAGACTATATTTATGTGCAAAAAGTTACTTTTTTAACATTTTATATAAAGTTCTAATTGTGTGCCCATTTGCATTGATAATGTCATTTTCTTCTCGCACTTGCAGGCCACACTTCTTACTTGACATTTTTCAGAGTCCCATAACTATTCTTAGTGTTGAAATGAACTAGAGTTGAAGTTGTTATAATATTAACTAAAGAAATGATATATTTTTTTATTTTGACGGGTCAGCGAGCCAATCTATGTATCCAATAAATTTTTGATGCGTTGACAGATCAATCCAGCAACCCATTTCAAAATAGAATAGGCTAATATTTTCAACCCACCATCCAACAGTGAATCAACCCACCCCACCCGTTTTTGGCATATTGAACTAGTTCACTCATTTTGTCATCTCTATTAGCAGAATGAAAACATTCGATTATGTTCTTCACGTCAAATCTTATATAATTTGCTGAATCTTAGCCCTAAAGCTATGGCGTATGTTACTGGTTAATCTTTCTAAAATATAACCCTTCATGTTTTCACATTTACTGGTTTGCATCCCCTAGCTTTAATATCAAATCTTTACACAAAGTTTCTAATAATAAATAGGAAAAAGCTGTAATTGATTGGCTGCATGTTGAAGGAGGAGAATTAACGAATGCATAAACAAGAAGCAAAATGCGATAGAGATTTCTTATTTCCTTCTCTACTGTTTGTTCAGTAAAGAGAATCCCAATTCCTATAGGTGACACGGGCATCACACAAAATTTTGGTCTAATGTACAAACATGGAAAATTGCTTGCATGGAGGGAGGGGGAAAATAAAGGACTTTATTATGGCAGAATTATGTAAATCAGTATATTGGGACTGATGGATCAACCTGCACAGCATAGGCATGGATACCCCCAGAAATATTGTATACTTTCCTAAAACCCTGAAACAAAGACACAAAGCAAAGTCAACAATTCCTTCCTAGTTTTCTAAAATTTATACGAAAATGAAAGGGGAGGGGGGAAATGGGGAAATCATATAGAAAACAATTATACAAGTGGCTTTCAAATAATTATTATCATCCTACAAACAATGACCACTATCTCACTGCAACTTGTGAAAATGAGAATTAATCCCTAAATGGGTCATATCAACTACCAGAAACGAACATGTGCAACTTTGTTTAGGAGATCTTTGATGAACAATAGGTATAAAAAATTATCATGAAATTGCCCTTTGATAAAGTGAAAACTTTTTATTCCATTAGCTGTCTATAGTCTATATCAGTCTCTATCTTATAAGCAACAGACAAATATTACATGCTTAAAAATCTTACAATATAGCAACAATTGTCTGCATGGCTTGGGAGTTATACCATGACATCAGTAAGTAAATAAATCAGGAAGCAAAACACTCATACACGCAATTACACTTTAAAGCCAGATAATAAGAAAAATTATTTTACCTGTGACTGCAACCACTTGGCAACCTGTAATGACCGCACGCCATGATGACACTGCATTCAGCAGTCGAGTTATTGAATATGCACTAAAAAAATAGGATTGCAAAACCAGATCCAAATTGAATCATATTGTGCATTACAGCAACAGGATAACTAAGCAGCCAATCCTAGTAAAGTACTAAAGGTCAAATTACAAATTCTGATGAAAGATAAATGAATTTAGAATAAAAAATTAGCGCTTTCTTAAACATCTGAAAAGAAAGGCCTCTAGGAATTCAAACTTGGACAGCTAATGCAGGAACGTATTCAAAGAATTTAAGTTTCCATTTTCATCAACTTACAACTTCAAACTAATAAAGGGAGGAGCAGGAGAAGGCAATAGAAAGTAGAAACATGAACAGATCTTCCAGACAAGAACTATAAATATAATTTAGATTTTCGAGAACAGTAAGAAATTAGAAATCAGAGGTCTAGGGCCTGATTGATAACTATTTTGTAAAACAGTTTTTTGTTTTTAAAAACAAAAAAATAAAAAAACTTGTTTGGTAATGGGTGTTCTGAAAAATGCTTCCCAAAACAATGACTCTTTTTAAGTTTTAAAAACCAGAAAACCAAAACATCCTTCTGATGTTCTCCAGCGCTGTTTTCTGTTTTTTGCATTTAGGCGGTGGCAAAATCGTAAATACCAGAATTCATTAATGGCAATTTCGTAAAATTAGGACCAAAACAATTACTTTATGATGGCATTTTTGTAATTCTAAAAGTTCATTAATGGCATTTTTGTAAATAATTACAACTTCTTTATAACTTTAATTTAACTACACTCAAACAAGTTTTTTTGTTTTTTTACTCTCAAAATCAGTTTTTAAAATTCATATTTAAAACAGTTTTTGGAAAACAAAAAAACTAGAACACTTTCAAACACACCCCTAGTTTCCCAGATACCTTCTAATAAAATTGAAATCTTTTGGAAGAACAACTGTACTTACAATAACATATGTATCCTTTTGAGGGTCGAATTTGGTAGTTATTTCAGGCCCCCAGCTTCCAAATTGTTGGAGGGGAAGAACCTTAAATCCTGGCAAAGATGCTTTGGCCCTGTGTATGATGAGAGTATCATTTAAAGCTAGAAAAACTAAAATCAGCTAATAAAGTAAACAAAATCCAGATGGAAGGAACCTTCAAGAAACTAAAGAACAAAAGAAAAATAGAAGCATAAAGTGTAAGAGCTACTAAATGAAAACCCCATTCAATCAAATAAAAGTAGATCCACCATGTTTTCTGTTAAGATGTCAAAAGAGCAGTAATGTTGAAATGCTGCTGGGCCTCTAAACCAAAGAAAAACGCGAGGTAGGGAAGGTTGGGGCAGGAATAGAATTGTGTTTGAGGAAGTCTGTTAGGAGGGAAAGGGAGGAATCTAACAGAATGGGCAGGTAGCAGCAGGACAATGGAGAAGAGGGTCTGGGAACATCAGGGACTTAAAAAGAGGGAGGGAGGAATCATTTGGGTAATCAGGGGGTGGCTGAAGCCATAGGGAAGATAGAGCATTTTTTACTTCTCTGATATCCTCCTCCTTTTCTGTCATATTTTCTTACTTGTTTTTACGTCTCAGTTCATGCACTGTACTTGGATCTTGCTCATAGTTTTTCCCTTCCATTTCTATTACTGTTAATTCGAGGACGAACCGGAGCAGTGGTAAAACTGTTCCTTCATGAGTGAAAGATCATGGGTTCGAATCCAGGAAACAGCCTCTTTGCAATGGGTAAGTCTGCGTACAAGGATTCCCTCCATCCCACACTCGCTAGTCGGGTTTAACGGGGAGTGATTTTTTTTTATTTCTATTACTGTTAATTCAGCTCCTAATCCTATCAAATAATCTCAAAACTTTTAATTGAACTATAGATCATATTTTCTCTTTTGTTTAAGATTATTGCCTTATCAACTTAAAATCACTCATTTGGCCTACTTACAAATATTTAACCAAATGCAATCATACAAGAATCAAGAATGCTTTTCAATGATTTCAGAAACTAATTAAAGTTGATGGAAATAAGCGCATACACTTCTCCAGGTTCTCGAACATCAATTAACTGTGCCTCCTCCAAAAAGTTGGGATCTTGAATTTTCACATGCAGCTCATCAGGTTGAATATCTTGAAGTATTGATTCTTCCCTGACAGTTAAAGGACCAAATTTACAAGGAATAAGAACATTCATTGAAACTAACAACAACAACAATTACCAAGCCTTATTCCACTAGGTGGCGTTGGCTAATTGGACCAAACAATGCCATTAGGCTCTATCAAAAACCAATTCAATAATTTTCATTGAAACTGAACATATTTTATTAAGTAATACCTCTCAGATAAAACCTGCAGCAGGTGCCATCCAAAATTTGTTTTGCACCTTACAACTTTGTTTAAAGGTGCACTAAACGCAGCCTCCTCAAATTCAGGAACCTATCCAATTGTCATCATCAGACATATGTTCAATCACATAATTGCAGCAAACTGTACTGAAAAAAATAATTCACTTATATAACTAGATCTCTAACTCATCATCTGTTTCCCTCAACAGAATCATATGGCAGAATTATCATCAGTTAAGGAAAATGCTAGAAAAAAAAAAAAAACAATATATAATTTTCCCCTTCCTCACCTACCCAAAGAAAATCTATAGTAATTCTATCCCCTCCTCTAACAGAGAAAGACAGTTTCACTTACATAAGGCAGTGATGCATACCAACTGTAACCCCCTCCCAAAAGAAGCACAAAAAGTAGCAAATTATGCAAAGACATAGTATAAATACTCAAGAAACCCTAAAAACAAGGTTTCATCTAAACAGTTTACCATTTGTCCCTTTCTCACCCAACCAAGCATCCCTCCTTCTTCCTTGGATGGGCAAATTGAATATTCCACAGCAAGATCACTCAAATCTTCACCTGAACACAAAACATTGATATGAGAAAAGAACTCAAGTCAATCATTGGTATAAACAAATAATTTGGGGTTTTACAATCTTAAAGTGCTAACCAGCAGAGATTCTCTGTTGAAGATCCAATAGCAGTTTCTGATCATCTTCTTTAACCAACAAATGCTGCACCATAATTTCCCTTTGCCTACCACCTTCAGCACTACTCCCAGTGGTATATGAAGCTGAAAAATAAGATTTTTATTTATTTATTTATTTTTAAACTCTTCATTGAATTACAAAGAAATGAAATAACCTGGGAGTGGGAGCATAAAAAAACAACAGAAACATAGTGGGGTTTGGAGAAAAAGAGTACCTGTTGCTTTGGGAGGGTTGAAGAAAGTGAAGGGAGAAAGAGGAAGAGAAGGTGAGTGAAAATGGAAGGTTCTGGGGTGAGAGTGAGAGTGTGTGAAACTCGTGCTGGAATGAGAGTGAGAAGTTGAAAGAGAGGTGAAGGAGAACAAGATTGAAGGTGAATAGGGTTTTGGAATGGACACTCCCATTCGTAACTGACATACTCTCAACATTGCCATTGCCTCAATTCACTTCTCAAACTCACAACACAACACTACTCAACTCAACTCAACTCAGATAAAAACAAACCTCAGAGGGGCGTTTGGTTGAGGAAAATTTTTTGGAATAGCAAGTGAAATGTAATAGATAGAAAAATGATTAGAAAGTGAGATAGGTAGAAAAATGTAAAAAAAAGTTGTTTGGTGGGGAAAAACTTTACTGGAAAAATTAGGTAACTTTTATGAAATCAACAGTGCATCAAAAGTGAGATAACCGTTTCAAAAAATCTCACCTTCAAACTGGGTTTCTAAACAGTGCAGATATCTATGTTTCTCGTAAATCCATACAAATTGGATAGATGGGTTTTTGGTGAAAATATGTTGAAACAAACATGGTATTTCTAAAAGCCATACTTGATAAACATAGATATATCTTGAAAAGCTCCAAACCAAACACCACCTAAATATGAACACTCTTTACTTTTTCTTTGTCTTTTTAAGTAAAGAAAATATATAAGTTAAGGAGCATCTTTTATTTTTAATTTAATCAAGTTTGGCATAATCTACCAAAATAAAATTGATTATAAAGATATTTAAATTATTTTTATGCTATATAGATTGAGTAAATAGTTTTATTAAAAAAAATTAAATGCTTTATTCAAACTTTACAGTTTACACTTTCCCCTTCGGTTGATTATTATTTCTTCTTTCTTTATCTTAATGCACTCCATAACCGATTATTTGTCTACGGACAATCCATATCACATGAAAGAATTAATTCCCATCAATGATAATGTAATATCGAGGAAAAATAATAATAGTATATATTTTTATATGCATTATAATATTAAATACAAAAATATAAAAATGAGTCAGCAATATCCTATTTTGACAAAAAAAAAAAAAAAAAGAATTGTATGTTGAACTGTGTATAATATAATCAGGATAGAATATTATGAGCACATAATAAACAGAAATATACTTCTTCTGCGACAATAGCAGAAGGTTTTTTGCAGCTGACCCATCGTGAAATGTTCAATGTTATTTAATATATTTTTTTCTTTGTAATAAAATGGGACCCACACAATTTTGTTTCAGCAACAGAAGAAGAGCAAAATTGCTGTCACATGAGAAGTGATAACCCCCGTAACAAAACTAAAAGAAAAGAAATCCTAAGAAGAAAAGGAAGCAAATAATCTTAATCTTAAGAAGAAGAAGAAATATAATTACAAGAAGAAAAGGAAAGAAATCGTAAGAAGAAAAGGAAACAAATAATCTTAAGAAGAAAAGAAAACAAATAATTACATGAAGCAAAGGAAACAAATTCTACAAGGAAAAAGGAATATAAATTTAGTAAGGAAACAAATTTTAAAAAAAATAAATTCAATTATTTACAACAAAGCCAATATCATAAGCTTAACTTGAAAAGGAAAACTTCAACTATAAATAGGGATTAACCTAACTAAACTAAATCGGGTTTTTGACCCTTTTGCCCCTAATTAAATAATTAATAACCAATTTGCCCCTCCCCCAGAACTATCCACCATCCTGCCCCCATTTAGTCGATTATGTTGCACTTTTAATCGACTAAATGGGCTAAACTCAGAAATTATGAAACGCGAATTTTAGTCGACTAACAACTCATCTTAATCGACTAAATTGTTTGCACTTTTAGTCGACTAAGCACATTATTTAGTCGACTAAATGTCGCAGATCAGGTTTTTTAGAAAAAAAAACCCCATTTCGCAAAGGGGGTTATTTTCAAACCCCAATCGACTAAAAGGCTGCATTCCGTCCCCTCTCTCCAACCAAGTCTGAATCTCAACCCTTGAAGGTGCGATTGAAGCTTCCTTGGTTCACACTTGCGAAATCGACATTTAGGTAACGTATTCTGACTTGCATTTGGTTTTAAGTTTAGTTTTTATTTTGGTTTTCTTCATGCATTTGATTTATGTTTGCGGTTTTGTGGATTTAGGTTAGGGGTAGGGTGTTAAGTGTGTTGTGAGGGTGAGGGTTAGGGTTGATGTGGTGCCTTAGGCGTAGGGTTAGGGTTATGTTAGGGTTAGGGTTAGGGTTAGGGTCAGGGTTAGGGTTTACGTTGCTGTTTTGGTTGGGTTGTAGTGTTTAGGGTTAGGAATGGGTTTTTGTGTTTTGTTTTAGGGTGTAGGGTAGGGTTAGGGTTAGGGTTAGGGTTTCTGTTTCTGTTTTAGGGTTAGGGATTGGGTTTCTGATTTCTGTTTTATTTTAGGATTAGGTTTTGTTTTTTATATTGAATTTTAAATTTTTTGATATTGTTATTGTTCATTGATTTTTGTTTCCACTTGCATTGTAGGTACAGTTGTTCTCATGGCTGGCCGTAGAAGATCGTCTAGCACTGGAAATGAGAGACAACAAAAGCTACGACAAGACCATCCGTCTTCGTCAAGGCCACAAGAGGAAGACCCCGCTGCTGTGGACCTCCCATTCGGATACTTGTTCGAGAATGACCCGGTGGTTCATGAATCTTTTGTCCGTGACTTTGTTAACCGACCGATTTGTGGGGCCAAATCACTTGATACAGCCTTTTTTGAACAAGAAGGTTTTAACATTGTGAGGTGGTTGGAGGAATCACATCTTAGGACCTTGGCTGAACTGTCGTGTTCATATTTTGAGCTGCATGTACGGGCCTTCTACCATAATCTCAGCTACCATCACGGTGAGCTGAGGTCTAGGGTCTGCGGGGTGGACATCATCATGACGGCTCCGGTATGGTTGGAGTTACTGAGGTATGACTTTGATTCTGCGCAGACTGTGGAATATGACGCAGACAGCGGGACCATACTTCCAGGATATACACGCGGTGATGCCGTGCAGGAGCAGAAGAGAGTCCGTGGGCAACACATTGCCTATACGGTGGGGTTGCTTACTGTGGAGTCTCGCATACTACACTATGTCATCACCCACATTTTGTTTCCGCGAGCGTTCAATCATTCCAGGGTGTTGGAGCATGACATTCCCATCATGTGGGCTATCCGACATGGTACTTCGGTGAACTGGAGGCACTACGTGTGTTGGATGATGTATAAGGCCAAACACAACAAGGGTGCACTTCCATTTGCTTGTCTTGTTCAGAGGATATTGGAGCATTTTGATGTTCCTATGGGTAATGTGACCTTGAAGAAGACCACAGGGTATAATCATAAGTTTGGAAAACGTCTACTGGAGCAGTGCAAGATGACAAAGAACCCCCAAACATGAGTGTGGCAGTTCACAGGTGCGGCTGATGTTGAGGTTCCTGATGTTGCTCCAGTTGTAGACATGGTTGACCCCGAGGTGGAGGATGATGATGACGATGATGATGAGGGTGACCAGCAGGAGATAGCTGAGCCTGAGGGTGGGTTTTTATTACGTGATGTCATGAAAGGCATAAACGCCACGCTGAAGAAAATAGGAAAAATGGCGCTGAAACACAAAAAATGGAGGAAGAGTCACATGCAGAAGGGAAATGAAAGATTTAGACATATACAGGGACGGTTCAAGGGTGTTGAAGATAGGCTTGCTCGTCTAGAGCTTGGACGAGGACAGCAGATTGAGGATGTTGCAGGGCAGGGGGCTGATGTGTCAGATGAGGATGACGAGGAGACGGCATCCGAGGAGGATGAGGATTAGATTTAGGGTTTATGTTTCTATTTTACGTTTCTAGTGTATGTTGTAATGTAATTGACTTCGGTCTTCCTATTTTACATTTGTAGCTTATGTAATATTATGGTTATGAAATGAACTATTTGATGTTCCCATCATGTT